ACGGGTGACGGCTGAATGGGGTATGCACTGGGTAAGCACTGGCATATCCCTCGGCCACGCGCTCCAGGCTAGTTCTCCCCCTTGATTCAAATTCCATGCCAATGGTTCCAGGATCAGAAACCAATGCTTGGCGATGGCTAGCACTGCCGCCCCAAAGCCGTCCGCTCGATCGCGCATGCCACTTACGTCCCAGCGTCCATCACCTTTGTCTCGCTCGCTGCGTCTACCCGCTCCTGCCAAGGCTGAAGGACTCGAGCATGAAGAGAAAGGGGATTCTTGTCTCGAATCTTTGGCGAGTTCTTCACAGGCAGACGACTCGTTTTGTGGCAAAAGCATGTGAGGAGGCGGTCACACCCTAAACCTGGCATGTATTAAACAGATGCTCTGCCAAGGGAAACGGACCTTCAATGGGCCATTGAAGGTCGGAATCCATCGCTCCCCAATTTGTCCTGGAAAGCTCGCTGTGCAAGACTGGTTGGTTCCCCACTTGCCCTACTTTTCTGGGGCGTCGAAAGACCCCTTCATCTCAATGCTCCGAGTTAAGAAGAGTCTGGTGGATTCTGGGCTTGCATCGGGGTTAAAATCAACACCCCCGCTACTGTGCATGGACGAAATCCAGCAACACCTGAGAAACCCTGGAATGATGATTCCTTTGTAAAGGGTGCGGATTGTTGGGTTCGATTGTTTTTTCGTTGTTTCACCCCCCCCCCCCAAAAAAAAAAAAAAAAAAAAACGGAACAACATCCACAAAAAAAAGCTCCCCTCCCTTTGTAAATGCCAACCAGCAATGGTTTGAACATGTTTGAACCATGACCGTAGCGGCGGACGCCTCCGCTTCGGCTTCCGCAGCTTCCGGGTCGGCGCTCGCCGGCTCCGGCACCACCGGCGCCATGCTTGGCGCCGGTGGCAGCTGCCAGACCTGACGCGCCGACCCCAGATTTACCGACCCCAGTGTGTTCATAGCGGGGCGCTGCCCTCCAAAAGTGATGATTGCCCCACTAGACCCAGGGACCCCTAAGCTGGGGTTGATTGATAGGGGGTGTGGGCGCGCCATTTAAGAATCCCGGGAATGGGGATTCCCCTGCAAATGCCAACAATCAACGGTATCAACCATGGGCCCACGGTGCGACCTAAGCCAGGGTTCCCTAGCCTTGGATTCGTGGTTTGGACCGGAGGCAGGGCGCCTTTCAACTCCCCAAGCCAATCAAAAGGTAACCTGAAAGGTGGGGTGTCCGCCTTGCTGGCAATCGGGCCAGGTCTGGGATCATGTGTTCCCACTTTTGCCACCCAACTGGCAGGCCGGCTGCATCTACCTGAAGCCCTCAATTTTTCCAGGTTGGCCTTCAGGCAAACACTCCGGGCAGCTCCAGATGAATACCAACGGTCGGTTTCCCCACGAAGAAGCGATTGGGGAACGCGCGCATCATCCGCAGCCCCATCCCTGCTCCGAAGGTTCAGAAGCGGTTTTTGTCTTTTTTCAGGTGGGACCCCGCGCAATGGCTGGGTTTTCCCGTTGGATTCGCTCAAAAGCCACCAAAGAAGGGGTGCCCTCACCCCCCCCTTTTGGGCTTCGTTGAGGCAGCCCAACGCCGCATGAAGCCCACACTTCAGCTGCCGCCGAAGCATGATCAACGTAATCTTCGGATTCATTCGGAATACAGTGCTAATCGGGAGTGTTTCTTTTGTCGGGGAAATGATCTATTCTAGGGGTTTCCTTGACTAGTGGGACCTTCCTTTAAACCGAAGTTGAGGGTTGAAGTTGGCATTACTTCTCGACAACTGACATTGACCCCGAAAAGGAGAAACGGCTTGCATTGATCCAGCAAAGAGTTGTCAGTTACCGGCATGCTCGACACCATGTTTCAATTGCTCAGCCATCAGCACATTGCTTGCAATGCTCGCAACTTGTGCGATGCTTTGGCATAATTTCTACGTTGAAATGGGCTGCATGAAGCTTTGCAGCTCCGTGAGTCCCAGTCAAGCAGCACTGCCTCTTACTGTTCCTTAAGACTTATCTCAGCCTTAAGCGGGCATGTCTCTTTTCGAAGACTACCCCTTTTTGTGCACAAGGAAAAGCATTTGGGGGGGGTTCAACCCGCCCTTTTGTCTCTTCAAAGGGGAGATGCTCTTGAGGCTCCCTGCTGCTGGGGCCTCGTTCTTTTCGATATGCCCCGGCTGCACCTGAGCGACACTGTTGGAGCCCTGGGGTGTGGAACAAACGCAGGAAACTTGGAGTTGATGAAGCTACTCTCGCATACATAAATAAGTTGAACACATAAATTGAATAGTTTAAATAACAATGCACATAGTAAGTAAGTAAACAAATAAATAAAATACACAATACAGATAAACAAAACAACATAAATAATGTGAGTAAGTAAAGAATGCGAGTAAGTATAATACATGTATATATATATATATTATGTTGTACACATATGTGTATAGATGTACTTGTTCCATCTATTGGATGCAGAGAGGTGGCGGCCCCTTTTCAAGGGTAGCCATGTTTCCAGCCAGCCATAGCTCGAGCAGCAACGTTTATGTTAAGAACCCGACCTGGAGAATCCAGGAAACAGTATCATCCAAAATGAAACTGTCACCCCATGTTCAAATGGTCATCCTCCATTAAATTAAGTCCCCTGGGAAAAAATGGAAATATGTTCAGTAGTGATAGATTCCCTTTAAAACCAACAGGGGAAAAAAACAAATATTCTTAACCTAATGGAAGTCATGGAGGCTGGAGGCATGCAGAGGCTTACAGACACAAAGCCGATGTAAACGCTGCTTTGGCCACGCACACCTCTTCAGTTGCTTCTGCACGGAACGGGTTGCGGAATGAACGTGTCTTGGACTGACATCTCGCGACCCTCATCCCAAGGATGCGCCTTTTTCATACCTTGATGCCTAGTCAATCTCATTTATTGAGGGGTGGAAGCTTGATTTGTTGCGTTGGGGCCACTTTCTGGAGGCCAAAGCGAGCATAAGCAGGGCCCAAACCTGTGTTTCTCCCCAGCAGGCCCAACAAATCCAGTGTTTCTGGCCGTTCTGGGCAGGTTGCTGGAGGAGCTCAATATTTTAAGACCTGGCTAAACATTGTAAGAATCACTGAGGCTTATCCGAGAGCAAGCTGGTCAAGTGGCACCTGGGAAGATAAAACACACGGTTGTTTTTCACAGAGTGATTTCTAGCTCAGTTGCCCAAAGGACTCAGAAATAAAGGATACTCTTTTGGGGCCACGACTAAACATTGACCAACAAGGGGAAACCAATAGGTCAAAAGTCGGCTTTGGGCAAGTAGCTGGGGAAGTAACATCTCTATTCACAAGGGGTCGCACGGTAGAGGTGTTTGTTTTTGCCTAGGGCTGGTTTTTCCCCAGCGCTGGTGGTTTGCTTCCTCACTAGGACCTAGGGCCTCGGGCTGCCTGTTGGCTCTGATTGGGTGGCAGTTGAGGGTTGCTCCGGGCTACTTTCTTGATGATGGGTATTTTGGCTCATGAGTAGGGCTGGTTTCAGTCTGACTTAGACCTTACTGAGGGTGGGTCTTGGGTTGGTTTGGGGTTCATTCAGGCTCAGCAAAGAGCTGTTGGGTGGGGGTAAGGCTGACTGTCGGTGGGTTCCTGCTGGTTTAGCAGGGGCGTGAGGTTTTCTTTATGGTGCGCATTTTGGGCTGGTTTTGGATTGGTGTTGGAGCACGTCCAAGCAAATCCCGAACCGACCAAAGTCAGCCTTAACCCCACCCAACAGCAGCCTGGATGTCAGCTCTTTGCTGTCCCTGAATGAACCCCAAACCAACCCAAAACCCACCCTCAGCAAGATCTAATTCAGACTGAAATCATCCCAAATGCAACCCACAGGCAACCCGCGGCCCGAAGTCCTAGTGAGGCTGCTGATGCGGCCAGCCAACCAACCAATCAACCACCCAACCAACCAACCAACCAGCCAGCCAACCAGCCAGGGAACCAGACCTAAGAAACAACCAGCCCTAGGAAAACACACACACACACACACACCGCATCCGGGTCGAAAATCAACCACGCACTCGGCATGGGCTGCCCGGCGGGAACCGCGGGAGCCTTTGTCTGATCCTTGGCCAGACCGTTCTTCTTCGCCAAAGTGGGCCAAGCCTGGCACAACAGCCGTGAGGGCTAGCAAGAGTTCACTTACAAAGCGGCCCGGAAATGCACGGTGCATGTTTTGGGATCCCGATAGCAAGAAAAGATCGATCCGGGACATTTTAAAGGCCGAAAGGTTGACTTCGGAATAAGACAAGGGTCTCAGTGTGATGTTCAGGTTTTCAAGTGAACGCAGCGGAATCGGCAAGGCCTCTACGCTGCCCAGGGCCGCGTCCGGGCAACAAAAGGGGTAAAGTGGGGACCCGCGCCAGGCCTTCCAATAAATATATTTGGGCAAAATATGACATTCTCAAACTGGAAACAAGGAACCACCTGTACAGGGCCTGCCGAGCGTTAAGAGAAGCTCGGCGGCTTACAAAAGCACGAGCAAGTTGGCCCAAAAAGGAAGCACGCACGAGCAAGCCTAAACCCCCACCATCTGACTCCCAAATGGACACGATGAAGCTGGGTGGCTTGCCTGGCTTTTGCAGTGACATGCTCCCCTGAGTTTCCCTCGGCAGCGAATCAAAGTGGCTTCCCTTTCAGCAGCGAAACGCTCTCAGCGGCTCTGTGAACTAGCACCTCTTTTGAATTACCCCCTCAAAATATGGATTTGCACAAACCCCTCTGGGGAAGGCTTTGCACTTAAGGGTAGGCTATCCTCCATGCTTTCAAGCGCGTCGGACCGTCGGGCCATTTCTCCGCTTCCGCTTGGCGAGCTGGATGTGGGGCCAGCCGAAACACGGGTTCCAGATCTCTCCTCAACAAGCAACCCACCTTAGAGGGATGTCCATTCAATTTCCATTGCACAAATGGCCATGGAGTTATAGTTGAAAATTGAACATGTCCATGGTAAACCCATCCAAGCTGTGGATTGTGGGAAGCTGGGTCAGGACTTGCTGCACATGAAGAGCAAAGGCCCGTCAGTCTCAACCCACACGATGCCGTCGCCCTCTTCATCCACAGAGTTGCTGTTACTGATGAGGCCTCGGCAAAGCATTTTCGGCCCAACAGACTCCTGAGAGTTCAACTCTTCACACTTACTGGGGAAACTGTCGCAAGACACCATCAAATAGGACCAGTTCCACTGTCTGTAGTTGGGACTTGCTAATGCCTTGAAACCCCCCCAAAAAAAACTCAAAAACAAAAAACTTGGTTCAACGTTTGATAGTTGGGACGACTTGCATATCCTCCACCATCCTTCTGGGGCATTGTGCTTTTTCCGGTTGTAGGTTGTGGGCTCGCAACGAACATAGGACGGGGGTTAGGACATCCTGCGGGGTAAGCCCAGAGATATGTTGGGTTGAATTCAGGATAGGGTGGGGTTGAATCGGATTTTCCCTGGGTTCATTTTTCTGCGGGGTATGGGTATGTGTGGGCTTTGGGGATGGATAATTGGGCTGGTGGCTCCGGGCGTGCTGATGCCTTTTATTCAAGCTGTGGGTTCTGGCTTGGTTTGCACTGGGCTCCACTTGAGAGTTTGTTGACACTGAGGGTCGGCATGGGGCTTGTGAATTGATCTGTGCATGGGTTTAAGATGGGCATTGGCTCATGGTCATTTCCAAGGCGGGTACAGGGACGTAAACAAGGCGCCCGTGTTCTTGGTGTTGAAAATAAGGCCATTGGGTGCCCCCGACTGTGGCGCATTGTTTGAGGAAACAGGGGATCGTATTAAACAGGATTCACGAGGCGACACGGTGTGTCGTTCATTAAAAACATTCTCAGCCAACTCAACGAAAAGCCGAAATGGATTTCAGTTTTCCCGTTGGTTTCCCCGTAAACCAACGCACAGTTTGTCTCCCAAGAAGGTCCACACCCAATTTTTGGGGGGAGGTTCCGGGAGGGTTCACCAACGGTATGGCCACTCAGCAGCGCACCTCCCCACTCCAGCACATGGTCCTGGCATGTCGGAAAGGATGCCAAAGTTGCTTGCCCAAAGCATGTTTGCTGTTCTCTTTTCTTAGCCCCACTAAATGCGAACACAACCAAACAACTACAAAAGTAGAAACCCGGCCAAGAACACACCGACCTGGTTGCTGTGACGACCCCTCAGCAAAAGTTGTTCACTTTTTGTGGGTGAATGCGGAATTTCCCGCCTGTTTCAACCAACAAGTCAAAGTTAAAGTCCACAGATCCATTACCAAATAGCCATAAAGAAAGCGCCGTTTGATTCCCGCAGCAAAATGTTGTCTTCCGCTTGTAAACCGGGCGTTTGCTATGACTTCATGATGTTCCAGAAAAATGTCTTGTAAAACCCAATGGTCCACAACCATGAGGAAGCCTGGTTCGGCTTAGCCCCCCCACTATTGATTGAACTCGGCACAAATACGAGCAAAGGCCCGACCCCAAATTGAAGATTCAGCTGCCCGAAGGCCAGTCCCCTTGTAAACCTGGCCGGTCGTAGCTTCCTTACGGAACTCGTTCTTTCTCACATTCCTTGGTTTCGGCAACTGACTAACCGTGTTGCAAAGAGACCGTCTTGAAACTTGGCTCACTGTTCGAAGGAGGCCGGAATAATGGACAGTTTGATAGCAAGGTGACACGTAAAATCAAACATCATACTTGCAGAACATTCAGCCAACCAGGCCCAAAACATCAAAATCCCAAATCCAGATTTGTCAAACGCCAAAACAAATCAAACCAACTCAAAGTCAAAGCATGTCCAAAGGCAGCCCGAAAGACAAATCAAATGAAACCAAAAAAACATCGCGTCAAAACAATTCTCAAAGCAAGAGCTACTTAAACCTGATTGTTTTGTCAAAGTCAGGCCAAACCTTTTCGTTTCCAAATGGAATTTGTTTTTTCCAACCAAACTGAAATACGGTTGTCCCCGCCAAAAGCAGTTGGAATCAAAGTACAAGCAACCAAATTAAAGCTGTCCGCAAAACCACTCAAAAGGCAACGTACAGGCGACCAATGCAAATCAAATGAAAAATATCCGCAGAGCAGTTGCAATCGGACCTTCAGAGTTGGCGCGTGCTGTACAGGGTGCACGCATGGCTCATGCATGCATGCCAGCCCTAAATAATATGTAAATGTAGGTATCTAGGTATGCATATGGTATATACATACATGTATTGTTTACCCGCACGTTTTGTGTGTTTCCCGCTGCTAGCAATTCCACCGTCGTTTGGGGCCGTATTGTTCGAGGGTATCCTTTTTCGTTGGCAGCAAATGGAAACCACCAACTGGGAACCAACACTTTTCCCGCCTTCCCCAAATCAGCATGCAAACCCCTCCAAATCCCAAAAAGGGAAATATGGGGACCCTTCTTCAATCCCGGCCTTCTGAACCAAGATTCCTTCCGCCTGAAAACCCGCGACGTCTCGTCCTGCAAGTTGTACTTGAGGCCGCTGGAGCTCACTTTCACCGCAGCTCCCAGTGGCACCAGTCCCACGGAGCCGCCCTTGAGCGGGTCCAGGCGGTGCGGGCCCGGAAGAAGCACCGCGCAGCAGCAGTCGTCACCTGAAGCCCGGAGGCCCCTTTCTCTATGAGTGGGGAACCTTTGGAAACAAAGGGGAAACCGACTCTGAGTGGGGAACCTAAAACAGAGCAACCCAAAAAATGCCGTCACCTATGACGCACTTGTTTGTTCGTGTGTGTGTGCGCGATTGCTTTTTGTTTGTTTGTTTGTTTGTTTGCCTGTTGGGGTCCATTGCTGCAAGCTCCAGCCCCGGCCAGCCGGTTTGAAGGGCTCAACATCCAGTTGCTGAACACCAAAGCAAGTTGCTTCTAGCCCGGACGGAAAAACTGGCATTGGCTTTTGGGGCTGCTTCGTTTAGACTTGACGTTGCCTGACGCGAACCTAAACTTGATCAAGAAGCCAAATTCATGTCCAAATGCAATGCAGCTTGCCCTTACTTGGTGGTTTGGGCTTGGTAGTTTGGAGGTCGGAAGGGGGGGTGCTTGTCCTCCTTGTTGTTGAATCCCGAACCACCAATCCGAATCACCAAGAGAGTTGCCTGAGAATCTGGTGAGATCAATCGCAACTGATTTGGATCGTCCAGGGATTTTAACCACTGATTGTTGAAAAGGAATACCCCGCCCCCCCGAAGCCGCCAAAGGATGAACTGACCTGAAGCCTGAAACTGGTCGGCACCGATCGGCTGGTGTCAGGCCAAGACACTGAGCAGCGCTGCATGCAAGCCCTGCCTCTGCGCCTCTGGGGCCAACTCTGCCCCTTGGGATCCCTTGATCCAAGCTGGGAGGGTTGTTTGAGTAGCCTTCGTGGCTTGGTCTGAAGACAGAAGAAAGGAACCAGAACGAGAAACAGGACGCAAACAATAACAAAAGACAAAAAGAACCGAGCAAAGAACCAAAACGAGAAAGAAAAAGGCATGACATGTCCCATCCTTCACTACCATCACACGATTGTGGGTCTATGCCCGCGCCAGCTGCGGGGCACTGAAAGAAGGAAGCCCATGTCAGGGACACCGACTTGTTGGAAACACCTGTTCGAGCCGCGGTGAAAATACCAGGCTAGCCAAAGAACATGGGACACTTTGCGAGTGCCCGGGTTGGTGCGCGGCCATATGCACTACCCGAAAATTCTGACTGAACCTGGTATTTCTTATGGGGTTTTGTCTAAGATCTGGTGAAAATCAACTAGGCGCTTCCCTGGCTCTTTGGCTTTGGGTTCCCCATGGCTGCCTTCAGCAGGGCGTTGAAGGCTGCCATGGTGTGGTCCAGGCGCCCTTCCAGGCCAGCGAACTGCCCTGCCACGAGGACCTGCTCGCAGGCGAAGTCCTGCGCGAGGAGTGGGTGCATTCTGGCCTTCTGGCCTGGGTGCCTGCTTGTTTGCCCTTCCCGCGCAAAACCTCAATGCTCGGCTCCGCGGAATCATTGCTGTTTCTCAAGCGTGGCTCAGGTGCTGACAAATATGACAAGCAATGTCATATTCGTCAGCACCTGAGGAATGATACATCATTCCTCTCCAATATAGACAACGCGCGGCTTGTGGATTGCCAGGCGGCCTTCAAGTTCAAGGCTGGTTGGAAGGCTAAGCGGCTTGATGCACAAGCCAAACTGGCAGCACACTTGGGTTGTGTGTCAAAAGTAGGGATCGCGCAAACGGTTTGGAAAACATGACATGGAACCAAACTTCAAAGGGTTCCGATGTGACCCGACCCCTTAGCGCCAACCAGCCGAGGCATCTTCCTGGCGCGCGGCGGCCAGGCACTTCTCGAGGTCGGTTGTGTCTTGATCGTGCGAGAGGTCCCGCACTTGAACGCCCCTGGCATCGATGTCAAGTTCGGACTCACTTGAAGGACACAACTTGAGGGGCCATTCGAAACCCAAAGACGGTTAAACCGCAGGTTGCCTATATGCAGCACCATGCAACTCCAAGAGATCCTTTCCCGACATGACTTGTAATCTGGGATGATCAATTGGTACGATACTCCATGTTGATCTGAAGTTGATATTTGGTTTGGGCGTGAGAAAATCAGGGCCTTTCCCAGTGGTAATCATTTATTTTATCCCAGCAAGCTTTGACACTGCGGCTCTTGCGAGAAGAGAGCGTCAAAGGGCTGGCTCTCGTGCACCCTCTACCTAGGAGCAAGGTCCTTGTGTCTAAGACTTCGTCACGGGAACCGCCACGGCCAGCCAGTGTGTCTAAGATGGTCGCAGGTGTGCCTCCAACAAAAGAAAGCCAGGCCATCAGCTGAAGGCATTGACTCAATCAGACCAGCCATGATTCCGGGTTCAGCTAAAATCGCCAGCCGTACCACGCAGCCAAATAGCACACAGCACGTGCGTAGCAAGATGCACGTGCGCAGCAAGATGCACGAGGAATTGCGCAGAGAAACTTGCACAAAGAAATTGCGCAGAGGAAATCTTGCAGAGCGAAACTTGCAGAGCAAGCTTGCGCAGAGACCACTAGCGCAAACAACTTAAACGCAGAACTTGCGCAAAGGAACTTGCACGGAGATCTCGCGCAGAGAAGCTTGCGAGCCTTGCAGCTACATTACTATGCGAGATGTTTTCGAGCCACCTCTTCTACTGTTTGTTTGATTAGAAACCGACCATTGTGAGGCTCCCAGAAACCAGCCCCAAGCGATGGGATGGACGAACGGCGGAGAAAAGCAGTGGCCCAATGTCCTAGATGTGGGAACCTCCAAAACAAGTGGTTCCCCTTCGGGCATCTCACACATTGACATACACAATGCCAGCTAACGTCATTCGCCTCAACGCTGTTTATATATATATATAAATGAGCGGGACAGCATAACACTTGGGTCTCAAGACAATGGACCCCTATTTCTATCACCCCTGTTGCAGCTAGCCTAGCCGAGTCCAAACCCTGCTTGGCCGGCCCCCAACGCATGCAAACACAATAGCACATCAAATGTCCCAACGGGACCAGGCCCTTGCTTGCAAACACACTGCAAAGGCCACACTCGACAACCGATGCCCAGGAACAATGCATTTCCAAACAGCCTACCTCCTTGAAAACACAACGATGGAACATGTGCCTTTACAGGAACAAATGGTGCCAAGCGGTCTGGGTGAAAAATTGCGACATGCCTGGCGCCCCTGACCTTTGAAGCAAGAACACATGCAGCATGGTGTAGCTCGCCCAGGAAAGGTCCTTAGCACCTGACAAGGGCTGTTAGTTTCGGGTTCTGATCCCTCTCTGAACCCCCTCTCAAAAGGCCAGGTGGTCAGTGGCTCGCTAAGTTCGCCGACGCGTTAAGCTGGGTCTCGCCTCTCCCGGTACCATTGCAGCGTCTCCTGGGCACAAGAAGCCGAGAAACCGGGTAGCAACCTATGCAAATCTTGAAGCAGCCCGCTGTGTCCCCTTTAAACACCCGGGGCCACTTGTCTTTACAAGCTCCAAACTGGTGATACCTTCAAGGCGCTTACTGGGCTGGGTAAACCAGCAACTCCGAGCGAAGAGTTCGGATTGGTGGCTTGGGGAATTGAACCTCTGCTTCTTGTGGAGGGTAAAGTCTAAATGGGAAACCCCTCCCCAACCACCAATACAAACCACCAAGGAGTGGGAAGCTGAGAAAAGGGTGAACAAAAACCACAACTTGGAGTCATCCGATCATCCGAGTGGCGGCATCCGCCGAATCCAAGTCCCCCAGCACCGCGTCCGGCACAAACTCCGGATGCGAGGCGCGCAAACGCGTGGCGGCCCCGTCTGCCAGGAGCCGAAAGCTGGTCCTTGGGCCCCCGAGTCAAAGCGCCTAGCACCCCCCCCTCCCCCCCTAAAAAACAAAAGACACCTTCTCCGAGCCAGGAAACTACCCAAATACCCACAAAAATCCCAGGGGGTTGGGCGAACTTCCTGGAGAATTCCCAGAATTGTGAGCACGATTTGTTGAGATGTGTTGCCTACCTGCCAGCCACGCGATCTCTACAACATTTATGATGTACTTACATTGTTAAAACATAAACCCAAACTTATCTCACCTAACACGTACAAGATAAATTTGTTGTTTAACATGTTAGGCTAATTGTGCGATTTGTTTAACGACTTATTTACGCCTTTTTTTACGACTGCCCGGGACTCACTAATTTCCTCTTCCGCGAACCCCAAGATGATGTACCAGGAGCAAAAAGGTGCTTACAAACAATGTAAACCTGGCAGAACAAACACATAAATGCCAATTATACCAAACTCGTACCATCTCGTACCTAAATTGCATCAAAGTAACTAAAGGGGCGTCCCTCCCTTGACGTAGTCCACACCGTAGGTTACAAGAATAGCCAAGCTAGGCGGGGTGCCCAAAATTGTGTCTCCAGGTTTTCGGTGATGATTGTCTCAAAAGGGCTCTAGATTTTTAAAAACTTCAGAAACGCATATGTTGTTTCTCTTGAATTCCTATATTTCGTGATGTGTTTGATTCACGCCTGGGGCCGGAAGCAAGACCTTCCTGAGTTGAGGCGATCTGGATTCAAGCCAGCGGCCGAAACATGAAAGGCACCCCAAGGAAACAGGAATTTCCGCCCATAGCCAAAAATCCAGAGAAAGAATCAGGCCCTCGCCTCCGCAGCCTCCATGACTCCATGGTCCCTAAGATGATGTGGTCGAAAACCACCGAGTCAAAGAAATGGCCGTGGGTCAACAATAGGTGCCCAAAATGAAACCCTGGTAAACATTGACTAAAGCCTGCGGTCCCCTGGTGGCTTAATTTTGACCCATACCCAAATACGGGCAATCCTGGATGTGTTTCCCAGGAAGCCTTGGCCGACCAAGGTAAAATCCAATGGCCTCAGGCGGCACTGCGCAGTGAAAGCAACGGCTCTCTCGGGCAAGGGATGGCACCGGAAGGCTCTTGAAGCCATGAAAAACATGGAGCCGACAAGCATTCTGCGCTCCTTCGTTGCCCGGGAGCAGTTTCTTCAAAGTTGATAAGTCAAAAGGGTTTTAAAGAGTTCACTTACGCCACAGTCTTTCCGGCAAGCCTGCCGCTTTTGGCTCGTCTTCATATTCTACTGCGTGGGGTGGTGTTCAAAGGCGGCAACAAAGGGAGCCCTCTCTGACCGCTCTGACTCTAGTGTAAAGCCATGTAATGTTCGCCGCTACTACCAAACTCCCAGCAATCATTCAGGGGTGTCCTTGCAGGAACTCATTTCTTCCCGCAAGACTTGTGGCTTGCGAAAACTGTGAAGGGGGGAGCACGGCCTCTATGACGAATTCTTCACTTTGGAAACTCACAGCCCTGAAACGGCTTTGTGGATTTGGTGGGGGGAGTCAGCATCTTCTTCTTTTCATCCCACCCACCCCTTTCTGCACAAACAGGGGAAAAGAACTAGCAACGCACCCTCTGCAATCCCTCTGCAAACTACTGCCCTTGGACCTACAAACGGCATGGTTGGAAGGAGCCGTCCCTAGATACGCACGCCCTTGGATCCCGCATGCGTCCCAGACACATGTGCCAAAGCGTCTCTAGCAGTGGCTTGGACAGGGGCGTGTTCAAAAGTATCCTCAGTCTGCATCTCTGCATGACGCACAGGGTTGACCGCTTTCAACTAGGGCGGTGGGTTGGCTTGCTCCCCCTGGTAACCATGATTCGCCCTACAGTGCTTGCGAAGTGCTTCGAGCCTCAAAAAATGCAATCCGAACAACATCCCGTCCGAAGGAAACTGAGCAGCCTGGATGCGAGGGAGGGAGTTGTAGCACTGCCTGCTCTGCATTCACACCGATCTTCTCATGCCATCAAAGTTCATCAACATCAACTGAATGGACCTTCACGAAAGGACACGCAGTTTAAGCACGCGCTGCGTCGACCCTTCCAGAGCAATAAGTCAACCGTTTGCCTTCCCGTCAACATCACCAGCATCGTTTTCAACATCCCCAGCATGTGCAGCCAACATCCCCAGCATCACCAGCAAACCGAGGGCTTCCTACAGCAGCATCAGTTCCTCTCCGGCAAGGTAGGCAGGCATTTATGTATGCATGCAAAAAAGCAGCGGGGGGTTCCGCTTAATGATGGTAAAAACAAGGATTCGAGTATGGGTGCATTTTTTCATCCATGTAAAACACCTAAAAAATAGTGGGGGGGGTTGGGGGGGCGGCGGCAGCCCCCCTCCATGATGTTCGAAAAGTGATGATTCAAGTAGGGGTGCTTTTTAGTCTATGGTAAAAGTTCAAAAAGTAGCGGGGGGGTTAGGGGCAGCGGCAGCCCCCCCATGAAGATCGGAAAAGTGCTGATTCAATTCGGGGTGCATTTTGATCTCTTCCAAAGGTCTAAAATGATTAGGGGAAAAAAGCCAAAAAGTAGAGGGGGGGGGGGGGGTTGGGGCGGGGCTGCCGCGTGATGTTCTGAAAAACGCGATGATTGAATTAGACAATCTAGAATGTATAGCGGGGTGGGTTGGGGGGGAGCCCCCCCATAATGTTCCAAGAACTGCACATGCGAGGCAGCCCCCTCCATGATGACCGAAAAAGTGATGATGCAAGTAGGGGTGCCAGAGGAACTGGTGATGCTGAGGACGCAGGAAGCCAAGCTGGGAAAGCAGACGATGCGAAAAGCCAAAGCCAGAAAGCCACCAAAAGCCTCAAAGCCAAAAAGCCACCTGCTGGAGAGGAACTGGTAACGCAGAGGATGCTGGCGTCAGCTCTGGAGGCACCTTGTGCTTGAAGTTCTGGTAAGCAGCGACAATCGCAGGATTGGCCCCCGCATCGTAGTTCTGGCACCTTTCCGGACCCGCTGCTCGTGATATCTCGCAGCACCTGCTGCAAACGCGGATTGCTTTCTGCCAGACTATCCTGCCACTGCATGTCCTCCGCTGCAACCTCGGATGCCGTCCGCCCGCTTGCATGCCGAGGTCCACCCGCCAAACATAGGGAGCGAGTTCCGGCCGCTTGGTGGATCCATGCAGGCTGCATCCATGAAGTGGACGAAGGTGTCAGCAGCACGCATAAGCGCCATGTAGAAGCGGCGACGATCCCGCTGAATGCAGCTCATGTCGGGAGAGTGCAGAGAGCGCTTCCACGTTCGTCACCTGCACTCGTGACTTGTCAGCAGCTGTTGGGAAAGCCGCCCACCAAGCTTGAAACCGCGCAGAGGGCTTCTTCAAGTGAAGCAGGACGAGAACCGCGCCCTCAGCCCGGAGCTTCTGCTCAATGACATTTGCAATCAGCAGAAACAGCTCTGGCGAGAAAGTGAATGCCCCAGCGTCGTCGCTCTCCGACCAAAAGGTGGCCCCAGTGTAAAGCACCAGCTGCAGCGCATCATCTCGGCTGTTTGGCTTAAGCGAGCGAATGCTTTCAGAGTGAGGCACCAGGCAGCGCACCAAATCACACAAGGCAGGGGCACACCGATGCGTGCCTTGGAGGTCGCTGCGAGAAGGCATGAGTTTCATTGCTCGCGCTGGCCGCACATGTGGCATGGTCATACAGTCCGCTCCCCAGTTCGACCAAGAGATGATGTTCTGAAAAAAGTGGTGATTCAATTTCAATTAGAAAATCTAGAACGTATATGGGGGTTGTCCTATATTCCTTTGCCAGCGATGGGGCCCTTGGGCCGCACTTGCGAGGCACTTGCGCGCGCACAGTGGCGCAGAAACTCGTTTTCGTTGAGCTCGGATTGCGATTTTTTCGTGTGGATTGCGCGCAAGCTTTTCTAAGCAGTGTGTTTGTCGTTCACACAGCAACCCACAAAGACTTTTCCCGCTGAGGTCGCTCCCGGCAATTCAATGCCAGCAACATACCCTGGACTCAACAGAAAGAACAGCAGGCTCTGCCACACAGCTTGGACACAGCCTGAAAGAAGGAAAGTGCATGTCATGTTGCGGGTGCCTATCCATTGCTTGAACCGCGCCGCTAAGGACATACGAGACAGCATGGCTAGATGTCTTGCTGGGGCTTCTCGTGCTTGCGCGCAACTTGCGCGCGGCTTGCGCGCGGCTTGCGCGGATTTTGTCGTGTCAGTTGCTGTTTGTTGAAGTCATGACCGCAGAAGCTTTGGCTTCGTTTGGCGTCTGACTGATTCGAAAAGCACAAGTACAGCAAGAAAAAAACACCTCGTTTCATGAAGCTAGGCAACATCAGTACATGAAACCCTTCAAAACTGTAACCTTGCGCGTCCCTTGGGCCGCACTTGCGCGCTCCTTGCGCGCGCACAGCTTTTGACAACTTTTACTTTTCCCTGTTCGGCGATAACTAAAACCGAAGACTGGGGTTTTAGGACGGCCCTCATATGGGGGGGGAGTTGGGGGCCCCCCCATGATGTTCCAAGAACTGCACACGGGGGGCGGCCTCCTCCATGATGATCGAAAAAGTGATGATACAATTAGGGGTGCAATTTAATTGAAAGGGGGGCGGGGGGCACCACAGAAGAACTGGTGATGCTGCAGCTGAGAAAGCAGACGATGCGAAAAGCCAAAGCCAGAAAGCCGCCAAAAGCCTCAAAGCCAAAAAGCCACCTGCTGGAGAGGAACTGATAATGCAGAGGATGCGAAAAGCCAAAGCCGCGAAGCCGCATGAACTCAATAAAAAGCAAAAGCCAGAGAGGAACTGTGAATGCAGAGGATGCGAAATGAAAAGCCACAAAAGCCACATAAATTCACATAAACCCACGTAAAAGCCACAAAAGCCAAAAAGCCGAAATCCTAAAAAAATAAAAACAAAAATAAAACAAAAAATAAAACTTTAAAAATGGCCCTCCAAAACAAAATCTTCAAATAAAGAAGGAATCATCAGACACATGTTCTCAAAATACGGGTTTTTACTTTGAACATGGGTTTGACCAACATTCCTGGCCCCCAAATGACCATGGGTAACTTTTGCCATGTGCAACGTATCATCTTTTTATATATTTTTGTGGTTTTTGCCTGGCCTTCCCGTGTTCATCGGACCCTTTGATCAACCCCACATGTGTGCTGTTTGTATATTTTCAAAAGGAGGGCACAAACTGGCTTGCCGGTTTTCCTGGCTTCCCGACAAAACCCGGCAAAACGGCGGGTCCAAGTCCAAACAACTGCCAACCCAGCCCAAACAAAGGGGCCCCACCTCCGAAAGAAGGCACGCGCCCGCGTCTTGCGTCGCCCTTTTTGCCCTCCTTCCCGGCCACGCGTCAGGCCCTGGGATTTCTCTGGCCTGCCCTCCGGGCGCCAGGGCGCGAAGAGCCAGGCCCAGTCGGTCATGGCGCGACACCGAGCCGAAGCCAAGGCGCGTCTCATGGGACGCGGACCCCTTTGAAGTTGGCAAACCGGAGGTTTCGCGTCACTTCGGATTTTTCCTTTCACGAATTTGGAGGGAACCCCAAAGGTCAAAAGGTTGGTTGAGGTATTGAAAGGGGAGCCAAAAAAAATGTGATCCCTCTACAAGAGCCAGGTTCAAGTCCCAAGCCAATCCAAACCACTAAAGGAGGACCTGATGAGTTGGCCTTTGACCTTAAGGCTCATTCTCCCACAAGAAATGGTGTGATTGGGATTGGGCGGTTCCAAAAGTTGGGGAAATCTGCAAGCAAATGCATAGCCGAGTCGCAGACCCTCTGCAAGAAGTTCTTTATCTTTGGTCAAAGGGAATGCCACGGAAATCCAAGGCTACATTCGTCGGAGCAGTCTGCCCCCACTTTGATCGCTAAAAATGGCCGTGGGGCATTGCAATAGCACAGACCTCCTGCCACAAAGGCGCGCACTTACACGGCGAGCTCAGCCAACTGATGAGCGCGCCATCTCTTTGTTGTTGTTCTTCTTTTTCGACAGCGCTTGCAACAGTTGAACGAAAGACGCCAAAATGGGTGTGTCTTTGTTTGACGGGATGTCCTAAAAGGACAAACAACAGGAAAACCTGCCATTTTCTGGGTCCCCTAAAACAAGCCTCTGAACTTGGCCGCTTTTGGGAAACAGTTTCCCACTAAATCCCCCGAGAAGCCGAACAAATTACCGGGTTCGGGGCCAGAGAGACATGCCACATGCGGGTGTGCCGAAAAGGCACGCCATTTTTGCTTGGGTTGCTTTAGAGGAAACAATCACTCCATCAAGCTTACTTTCTGCCAGTCAACTCTGACCCCCAAAGATCAACAGCCCATGTCCGACAAAACAATCCCTCTCCTTTCAACCAGGCATTGTACAATTTTTGGGTTGGAACAAATGACAATCTATCCCCTTCGCAAACTGCCAGGGAATTTCTGCATCCACCCCGCGTTTGCTGGTGGGAAAACACATGGACTCCCCAAGAAGGGCGAATTGGGGAGGGCAACCCCTTAACAAGGCCTTGAGGGCTTCTCTTGGGATAGCTCCTCGCTTCTTCCCCGATAGTCCCCCTAGGGATCCTAACTCAATCATATCCCTGGATATCCCCTCCGCCTCCCCCCCCCCCCGGGTAGCGGCCAGGGGTCCATGAAAAAATTAAAACGGACCCACAGCTTTTCGCTCGAAACCGCAAGCACAACGAGCGATCCCGGATCCGCGCCTCCTTGGCCTGGACGGGGGCCTATCCGGGAAGGCCAGATAAGGTGCTCGCGTGTGGGTGTGCATGGGCATGAATAAGCTAACAAATGTATAAACACACAACTAATCTATAAATGAAGAACTAAATGAATGGATCAATAAACAAAATATATGCCTAAATACATGACTAGATGACTGAACATGACTGAACATGACTGAACATGACTGGACATGACTGAACATGACTGAACATGACTCTGTGAACTGACTGACTGACTGACTGACTGACTGACTGACTGACTGACTGACTGACTGACTGACTGACTGACTGACTGACTGACTGACTGACTGACTGACTGACTGACTGACTGACTGACTGACTGACTGACTGACTGACTGACTGACTGACTGACTGACTCATTGACTGACTCATGACTGACTGACTGACTGACTGACTGACTGACTGACTGACTGACTGACTGACTGACTGACTGACTGACTGACTGACTGACTGACTGACTGACTGACTGAACGAACAAATAAATGGGATGGCATGGCATGGCATGGAATGGATGGATGACTGAATCAAAGAAATAAGCAACTGTCTCAATCAAATGCTTAATCAATCAACAAATAAATGAATGGAATGAATGAGCGAGAAAAAAAATGAAACAAACAAGTGAATTAGCAACTGCATATGTTGCTTAAACAAGCATGAACAAACGAAGAATACAACAATACATAAACCTGAATCTAACAATTCAATTGATGTTAATAATAATAATGATAATGACAACAAGAAACAGAAACAGATAAATCAGAGTGCTCAGGTGCCTCTTTATGCACGTGCTGTCCCGAGATCTACCTTTCTCCTGGCCCAGCCCCGCCCGGCGGAAGCCGCCTTTTCAGAGCGCGCCTTGGCCTTCGCGGACTCCTCGCAGCTGACTCTTGCGGCACAAAACGGGGGCTGTCTGGATAGCCCGAGCTTTCCCAGATGCAATCGATGATAAGAACCGGGCATGCTCACCCACCCGCCCCACCCCCAAAAGAGAAAAGAGCAGGTGGCATGGTATCCCCAAAAGCCCGGAACCCCTGCAAAAAAAAGAAAGAAACGCGTTCAGCTGTTGGGGAAAATGTGTCCAAAATCACGTTGCGCGGTTTCAAGTCCACTCGCCTGTCCTTGATGCGGTGCCAAACATAGGCCGTGTTCCCCTGCCGGTCTGCCCAGTACATCCTCGGGAGAAGTGGCTGGCTCGTCTTTTCACAAAGTCAAAGGCACGTATCTTTTTTGGATGGTTTAAAATGTAAAAATCAAGGGAAAACCCCAAGTTTGGGGTTCCCTATGATACACACCGAATTGACTTTTTGGCATGGTTTGGGAAAGAAAAAGAAACCACCCAACATAGGGGGGCCTTCTCCCCGTTGCGACCAACACAATAGCTAACCGCGACCTAAGGCTCCACTACATGCCAACAGCCTCCATGGAAACCAAATTTGGAGGCGCCCTCACGCTTGTGTGCAACTCCATTTCCGGATAATGCAAAATTTGAACAACGCATTGAGAGCAAGGACCCCTGAATGGCTGTCCGCCCTCAAAAACTGCGAGCGTTTGTGTCCCTAGATGAAAAGAAACACTCAACAATGAACTGCCAACGATGCCCGATATGGAATTCCTTGCTTCCAAGGAGAGCAGTTTTTGATAACTTGGGCTGGAGGCCATGCACAGTGCGCCCGCAGGCCCGTGAATGGCACTGAATGGCACTGGTTGGAACTTTTATTTGTATAACCCGAAGAAAGCGCAATCACACTTATCAGCGGCAGTTGGCAACCCACGTCAGACGCCAGTGAACTGAATTGGAGACATCACCTGCTTCATGCATATGGCGGCTAAGGTTCCCCTGGGCGTGGCAAGGGTCATGCAAATCAACATCCCTAACCCCAAACGAGCCTGTGTTTTTGACCAGGCCAGCTCCGCCACAACTCCATTTCTCGGTCAGCTCAGTTGGATTTGTTTCTTTAACACCTTGAGGGCTGCATGACGACTAACATCGTGGTTCATTGCCAGCTGGCCTCAGAATTGGCTCAGCTTTTGACGTCTCAACCAGCCAAACTGGAAGACACCCCCGCCGCCGCAAGTTACGCCAGTATAGCCCCCTGTGCAATTTTGGCTGTGAAACGGGGAGAATGCCGGTTGGGGCCTGGCTAAGTGGCCAAAGAATGCGGCAACATGACAGAGCGCACCATTCTAATGCCCACGGACCCCTCCGCCAGCAAAATCGGCTAAGCGGCGAGTCTTCGGTCAAGTTGGACAAGTACCACTTCCACTTTTCTCCTTGGCATGGCAGATTGATCAGTTCCTGAAAAGGGATGCAGGTTTGACCATTCCCAGTACTTATTCTGGCATGCTGCGGCATGCTTTGTACACCCCTAAAAGCCGCACTAATACACCCAGGCTCACATTTGGATGCCGCCTCCTGCTGACCAGGCACAGGTCTCATCATGCACACAAGATCTAAGAAATGCAAACAAGTCCATTGGCCTCAGAATCACCCCTTTGGTGAAGGCGCAAATTGCAGCAAGCAAAGGGGTGATGGGAACCAAGCACGTCATTCAAAGAAACCAGGCTGGAGAAATCCCTGCGCTGTTGAACATTTTCTCAGTGGCTCTTCCTGGGCAAACCAGCTTACCCTAGCTCCAATGGGAAAAACCAACTGGTTCGAAACGACTTCACAGCCATGCTTTGTCCAATCCCAGCCAGGTGAGAGCATGTCCACCGCACAAACGGTCGATGATCCGATGATCCGACGGACTGACAGGGGCGATCAAGAGCCAGAACGGCCCACAGAATTCGGCAAAACAACGAAGAACTCTGAACACTCAGCATATCCATGTGACAAATGCCCGTACCCATTCGTCAATTTTCGCCAAGATGCCATACCAAACGCGCTTCATCTTGTCGTCCCAGTGCAGGGCAACACCGTAGGCAGCTCGAGTCTGCGTCCTCTTTGTGACCGTGAAGGCACCTGGCAGTTGGACTGATGGGGGGTCAAAGGAAGCATATTTAGCCCCTTGCCCCCAATGAAATGCCCGCAAACAACCCCTGACAAACGCAAGCCGGACAACTGCTCAAAAAGGCCAAGACCGATTCTGCTTGCAAGCAAGTCATTGGCAGGCAGATCTGCCCAGCACTGCGACGGCAAAAGTGTATGCCCTGTTCTGCTTGCAGGGCCTGTGCCTGTTGCCGTTGTCAGTGCAGCGGTCTTGTTGAACGTGCAGCGGTCTTGTTGAACTCGCTATGCTGCCGTCTCTGTTGCCGTTGAAATTGCTGTTGTCTGCGATTATATGAGGTTCTGAGCGGAGCTCCTTCGGCAGTACTCTAGACTCCACAAGACATCTTGGCTGCTCAAACTAAGTATGTGTGCAATTGCCACGCTCTTCTTCTTTCTCGCAATGACTTGCCCAAACTAAGATGAAAGCCGGAGGTCTTACTTTCTGCTGGAAGCTTCGAGCCGACCTGACCAGCCGGCCCGCGAGTTTTCGGCAGCCTGCGCGGTTGGGGGATTGGAATTGAACCAGGTACTCGGCGTGGTAGTCACCCTCCTGTCAAGCTGAGCACATCCGCGACTCTTAGAGTTCTGGCCTCTGCGGGCAAAGCTATGCGCCCTGGTGGGGAAACAGGCCTGAAACTAAAAAAACACCTGTCACATCCATTCACATTCGTGGCAGCAAAGAGGTCCGCAAACAGGATTTGACATCGCCGTAATTAGGGGCCCTGAAACTTCAAATGCAATATCCGTCCACTGGTTTCCTTTTGCGGCGATGTCAAATTTATGGATCCCGCACCGGCATTCAACAAAAGCGCCTCCCTGGACTTTCGTCCTCTGAAAACTTGTTGCCACCTTCGACTCACTTGCCTGAAGGACCTGAAAGAAGGTTAACTTTTGTGGACCTTGGCACAAAATGGCCGAAATGGGAACACCAAAAGGTCGGAAGGTCAGTTTGCGTTGGGCGAGTGATGGCGAGTGAGTTGACCGGGAATGCAAACTAATCGCAGCGCTGTGTCCCTCCAAAGGCCTTCGGTTTTACTGACAAAGGTATAATTTTGCCGCTAATTTCAGCCCACAAGTTTGTCCACACAACGGTGGTCCATCCCAAGTTGCGTAATTTTCCTGTAAGCAAACAACACAAATCAATCAAGTCTAGTCGTGACGATCCAGGCGGCAAGCTTCATGCGCCCTTCAGCCAACTGGCAAACAATATATTCCCCTATTAACAACGGCATCCTATTACTAAACATGTTTTCTGCTTCAGACTTCAAACCTCCCAACACTGAATTGGAATTAGCCCATACTAAGCCTAGTTCTAAACGTGCAAATTTACCGCCGGCCTCAAGTCTAGCTTTGTTCTGAGGGGGCATTTTCGAACCAATACTAAACCGATGCTAAACCAATCTTAGAAACAAGTGCAAATCAAAAAGCATATACCTCGATTTCTTCTGCTTGAATTCCTTACTTGGAAATTGCTTTCTTGAACGACTTTGGACCCGGAACGTGGGGGACCCCACTTGGACGATGACCGTACGGACCCTCCCTGGCACAAACATGGACCCTTCAAATGCATTTTTTCGGGGGTAGGGGGGGGGAGGTGGGGAAAAAAGGGCATCAAGCCTAAGGTACTTTTGGGGCGATTTGGACACCAGCAAACGAGTAACCAGGGGTTCAACGTCGGCTGTTGCCGCTCGCTCCTTCCACCTGGTTCCGCCCAGCCAGTCGAGGGCTCGCACTGAGGTCACGTCGTCTAAGCGGTTCTCCTGGTGCGATGGCTGGGACGACCACATCACTCAACTCGCAGGGTGCTCAGTAGGGAATGTCCCAGGGTGTTGGGAATGAATCTAGGGATTCAAGAAAGCCATAGGGCATTGGTTTTTAATTTTTCCTGAGCTCAGTCCATTTCTCAGTCCCAAGCTGAACTAGCAAGTCAAAGTGACACTGAAAGGCAACCGCTGAGCTTCAGGTCCGAGGTCCCCAATCTGCGCGGAGTTTGCCTGGGCTGTTCCCAGATCCCCTACAAGTTTGACAGTTTAGCTGTGGTTTAGTGGTAGTTTCCACTAAACCAACTAGAAACAACTTTACACCTAGGGAACCGCATGAATGGGAACCACCAAGTTGAGAACAACCCCCCATACGCCTTCGCAGGTTGTGTGCACCCTGCCTGCCGCAGCTGCGGCTCAGGAATCGCCGGAGCCGCCGCAGGCAGCGTCACCTCCGGCGGGTGCAGGGTGCAGATTTGGTCCACGGCATCTTCCATTTGCTGCAGTCCACTGGTAAAAAAATATGTCCTGTAGGGATAGATTCCCTTTAAAACCGGCAGGGGAAACGCAGCATACCAATTTAGTCTACCCCCAGGCGCTTCCATGGAAGCTCCCAAACGCACCTCTTTGGAAAACTTGGTTCCATTTACAAAGGGCAGTTGGGGGAGCTTCCATGCAAGCTTGAGAGAGTGTACTGCATGGATGTAGGATTTGTTTACCTTGCTGTGAGACCGACATGGGCCATTCTTACCTCTGTCATTCAGATTTGTTTGTTGGTAGTAGAAGCTGACCACAAAACCCAGTTTCCCACCACCGCGGCGTACCCTGTCATACAACTCAAACATGAGGGAAAGCACAATATGCATTCAGTTGTTTTTCCATGCAAGAAAAACCAGCTTTAACCTGCGCCCGTGGGATCATGCCCACTGGCTGCAAAACACAGTTTGTTGTTTTTGCAACCCCAACCTAAACAAAAGCGGGCGCGAGGTCTCAACATGTGGGTTCCGGCTCATGTTTGCCGGTGCTTGGTCAAAAACCAGGTTTGCTATCGACACCTCACCCTTCCAAAGGTGATTGGTATCGGTATCAGGGCGGGCCTTCACCCTGAGCAAAACAAATAACTTTTTGGAGGTTCAATCAGAGACCGGGTTTCCAAAATATCTCGTGGCTAAGGATGTACTAGAGACCGGCCACGGCATCTAGTAAAGGGCCCATGCCTGCCCCATCCAATCACCCAAGTGAAATGCAGGGATGTGGCCAAATTAAATTGCTGTAGCTTCCTAGTTGCCAAGGAAATGAGGAAGCTCCCCTTCTAGTGAGTAACAATTAGTTGGCATACCCAAGCAATGGGTGTAGTCGGCACGGATTTGGAGATCTGTCTAAATGAGTGCGTCAAAAAATGGGGAGTCCAAGCGCTAGTGATTGCTACTTACTCTTGGTTGCTATCGCCCCACTCTGCAAAAAGTGGATAACTTTTCTGGGTCCAATTCGGAAAATCCCACAAAGTGTCCACCGAAAAGCCAAAGTCCAAAGATCCATTGGCAAATATCCATAAAGAAGAGGTTGTCTAAACCAGAGAACAAACATTGAACAAGTTGGCTCAACCTGGAACATGGGTTTATTAGGCCCCGGGTCCAGGACAGTCTATAGCCAACCTTTTCGTCTCTTCCGAGCTTTTCACACGGGCCTTGTCGTCTTGGAAGCTCAACAGGTGCCGGAAATTGAGCACCTGAGAAATCAAGGGAAAAACTCCCGGACGCGGCATGTTTTCTTTGGGGTGTTGGCCCCCAAACTTGTGTTTTTCTTTTGGTTTTCCCTAAAAGGGGTACCCTTAAAACAGGACACACCATGATACACCCCCTGTAAACATCATCCCTACCAAATCAAACACATGTCGAGTCAGCAGAAGGTGAGGTCGAAAGCCACCAGTTTTGCAACATCAGCCCTGAGCCAAGGGGCAGACCCTAAGACCTTTCCTAGCCCTCGATGGGTTGGTGCCGAAAGGCCGAAAGGCTGCCTCCAGCTTCGTTTTCCATCGATCCCTGCGGGCTTGAGAAAATGCCGGCACCAAGTGTTTTGAATAGGTTGCCACCGGGCCGCCCAGAAAGCACGATCAATGTGCACAATTGAAACTTATATACTCGTAGCATGCATTCTGCCGAAAAGTTCCTCAAAGTTCCCCATACCCTGCTATCGCCAAACAACTTTTCCCTGGGTGGCACATTGCCTTGTTGGGGGCGCAGCAAGAACATGCGATGGCCCAACAGCGCTCTCCTTCCGCAAGGCTCCGCAACAAGTTCACAGCCACAAGTGACACTCCCTTGTTAAAATTAAAACCAGGGGACCGCAGATTTTAGTCCATGCTTCCATTTACCAGGGTTCCATTGTGGTTACCTATTTTTGACTCACAGCCATATGCTACCAATGTTCCACTTGCTGTGCCGGGAAGCCCAACTTACAAATCAACGCTTGCAAACTGACAACAGCAAGCCATGGACGACGAGAACCAACCAGTGGCAATGGCGAGAATGATGATGAGAGGCAAAAGGCAAAAGCCAGGAGCAGCAAAAGGAACCAGAAACCAACACAAAACGGCGAAATGTGATGAGCTCATCAGGACACGACATGACATAACAAGAGATAACCGTGAGACATCCTCCGCACCGAGGCACGAAGGTCTTGAAGCGGTTCACCCCAATCTGACTCTTGTCCGGGAACTCTTTGGAGAATTGAGTCAGCACCTTCGCTCCAAAGGATCGATTGTTCGATCCCCGCTCGGGACTGTCGGACGCAAACCCAGCTCAATGTCAGAGCCCTCCTGAACTCCGAGTGCGAAACCACAACCTCTTCGTGATTATGAACCCCCCAGCTAGTCTTTCTGATTACCCTCCCCCAGGCCAACATGGAAGCTCCCAAGACCCCTTTGGAACACTAAGTTCCGTTTACAGAGGCCTTCTGGAAGCTTCCATGTTAGCCTAAGGGAGTGTAGGAACCAAAAAAACCCCTGAGAAACAACCTCCTATTCGGCTATGGCCTTTCTTGGCACAGGCAAAGCACCCAAAGGTCGAGCTCTTCGGCTGGCATGTGGACAATAGTGGAACCCGCGCAGCAACGGAAGGTCTCGGGTTCCAATACCATTACTGTAAAACAATGGCCGGGTTTGTATAACCAACATGATTCACCCTTCAGGATTTTCATCATCCAACTTGGTCCTCGTCATTCTTTTAATGGGGGTCGGGTTGAACCCCAGAGAAAGGACGACATGAGCATGTTCATACCCCCGCGACTTTCACCATACCCTTGGCAGGAACTAAACAGCATGCCCTTAAATGGGTATGATTCAAGATGCACCAGTGGTTCCCTTTATTTGTTTTATTTTTTGTGACACCACCAAAGGGGGGCAATCAAAGATTGCCCTGGCACAGGCAGTGGAAAAGACACGTCCTTTCATCGAACCACATCGAACCGCGCTCCACCCACGCCCTGCTCAGCCCAAGCTGCAGCAGACAGTCGGCACTGCCCACCGCTCTTCCGCACGAACTCCTCACATAGGAAGCAACTCACATGGCTGAGGCTGAAAAAAACACCATACCAAAATGGAACCCTGGTAAGTGGAAACATGGACCAAAACCCGCGTAACCCCTCCTGTTTAATTTTGAGCCATACCCACATGCTCAAAATCATGGGATTCCAATCCCCGCCCCAAGTGGCTACAAGGCCTTACTGCAGGCCGAATTATTTTCGGGAAACAGGTCTCGGCAACACCTCTGGCTCCAGGGCAAAACAGCTTTACATTCCAGCTTTCCAACAAACCAGGTTTCCAGGGGTCGACCCCCGATTCCGTGAAATGCACCCCATGGGGACGGTGCCAGTCAACATGTTATGTTTTTGTTGTTTTTGTGTTTTTTCCCGGCACCTCATACCTTTATGACCCGGAATTGCAAAAATCAGGCCATGCGTGGAGGAGATCAAAATATTGGAATCTCTTGTTTGGGGAACTGTACATTTGACACAAAGCTACTGTCGAGCCTTCCCATATCTCGCTGGAAGCAAAGCAACATCCTCCTATGTGCCATGGTCATATCCCTGGGGTTCAGGGTGTGCCACAGTCATATCGAGTTGGTAGCGACCCTTAAACAGTTTTATTTACGATGGTGGTTTTCCCCTTGGTTTCCCTGTAAAACCAGCATACAAGGGGAACCCTCAAACAAAAACACCCCTCGCACGCGTTTATGAATGCCACAGGGTTCACCCTCAAATGAAACCGACAAGGGAGGCCCTGTACGAATAGATTCCACAAAATGTGTGATTGGTTCATTTCTTCTATTTAACCAAAAAACACCTGCAAGTGTGTAACACGGCTAGTTAGGAACGACATGTTGCAACAACCGTTCCAAGGCTTCAACGGTTGGAGTTGTTTGGAAGGGGGAAGCCGGGTCGAAGGTCGAAGATCCTGGCCCAAAGGGGGAAAGGGTTGGGCATATAGGTTGCTCGATCTGCTCACCCTGGCAACATACCAACCCAGCCACACAAGCACACCAACCACATCAAGTGTTGGGCACTTTTCAAATCGAACACCCCACGTTGGACGTCCATTTAAGATAAATAGTACACAGGACCTTCTGCCAACAAAAGCCAAGAAACGCCATCACTCCACTGCGTCATTGCTTGCCCTTGCAGACTAAATCTGGACTGCCCGTGGCCCGCTTCTGGCGCGCAACCCCTCCCAAGTAGATGGCACAAGTCCCCCATTTTATCACTTTCTGAAAGAAAGGGAATGGTGTCATCTTCCACCCTGGGCTTGGCCTGCATTGCGTTCCAGAGGGCTTTCGTTTGGTGTGAGGCCGGGCAAGGACTAGGGAATCTGGGAATGCCGGGATCCCACCTGGATGCTCTTGGCTAATTCTTCTCCGTCCAGGCTCTTCTTTTCCTGCGCTGGGACTCGACCGGGGGGTCAAAAAACCTGCTTGGGGTTGGCGCAGGGCTTGTCCAGAGGCTCCTGGGCGCGTGCGCGCCAAACTTCGTGGGTGGGTGTGTTTTTCGGCGGCCTTTTGTGTCAAAGGGGAACCAAAAGAAAACATGATAAAAGGGGGACCAAAAGGGAATTCTTTGTTGTTAGGCCAGTTGTCCATGGGGAACCATCTCTTTCTCCCTGCCTGCTGCGCAGCAGACTCCCCAAGCACGTCCATGCGAATCAGCGACTGGCAAGAGGGCGCAGTGAAGCGTGGGCCGGGGCAGTGCCCAAGTGGGTTTTGAAGGAACGGGGCAACCACCAATCTGGGCAAGTCAATCTATAGGTCACACACCTCAATTAGATGATCTACATGGGAAACCCCGAAAGCAAGGACGCCTTGTGTTCAAGTATGAAACACGTGAAACCCAGTCCGTGAGGTCCCTGCCCAGCGCCAATTAATCAGCATCTGCTGACCGGGGTGTCAGGCCAGGAAAGCCTGGGCCATCAACACTGCCTTCGGGATGTTTGCTTCTCAAACGATCCGGGAATCCAAAAATCCAATCTGAGCACCAGATAAATGCTTCACGGTGCATCTACTGTTTCGACATGGGCATTGACCTCTTCATGGGGTTCCTGTTGGTTCCCCTATGAAGCTAATAGAACTCAGCTTCCAAAGCGGCTGAACTTGGGACAGGGCTTGCGAGGACCAATGTCTTGCCAGAGCCCAAAAAACAAACTCCAAAGCCCGGGGCTGGTAGAATTGTATCCCACGCCTCCGGTCAGCCGAAAAGAAAAAACACCACATGTTGTTCGGTAGTTGAATTGAAGCCCCCCCCAACAAAGAAAACTACACAGATGTTTGGGGGTCTGGGACCTGAATGACGGCTTCAAACCCTGTAAAAGCCTACGGCGTAATTTGTTCATCACCTGCCAGTCCTCTCACCTTGGCTTGACACTGCACGGATGGCCTCGGCCAAATCTCGTTCACGATTCGAAGCTCCCATCTGACCCTTCCTTAGCTGGTTGCTTGCCTTTCCTTCCTGCCTGAAGAAGGGGCAGCGAGAAACCCGCCATCTCAAGCAAACGAAAGCAGGAAATGCGGCTTGCAATCTGCCACGCACTGAATTCTGCAAACACCAAGGTCGCACCTTCCTGTAGAAATGGTTTCGTGCATCTGCCTGACTGACCGGCCTTCCTGTTTCCTTCCTTCCTCTCGGCCAATGCAAACCTCTGCATGTTGCAGGAGCCATGAAAAATGACATGCTCAAATTGACCCAAATTATTCCCAAAGTCACCTCAAAATGCAAGCGCTTGAAGGGCCCCTTGGCTGGGACTTCCAGCCGGCAGTGTAGAGCAAACTAATCAAATCTTCGGAAAAAAGACCTGTTGTTCCACAAATTCATAACAATTAGTTGCTTCCGTTTGGGTCCCGATTTGTTTTGGGACTGTTTCCCGTTTTGTTTTGGGATTCTTTCTTGGATTTTGTCTTGGAACTGGCGGGTGCGATCTCCCTTGGTTGTGCTGTGGCTTGACTCGTGTTGCACCAGCGCTGTCAACATCCCCGGCATCGGTTTAACTCGGCAGCATCCTTTTCAACATCCTCAGCATCACGAGTTGGATTTGTTAGGCTGGGTTTAGGGTAGGTTTAGGTTGGCTAGGGTTGGTTCATGGTGGGTTCCAGGCTTGTTTAGGGCAAGTTTGGGGGGTGGCTGCGCTTTAGGACTGGGATGGTTGAGTGCTGGTTTATGGTGGGGCTTCTCGGGGTTGGCTCAGGGGTTTTGAGCTGGTTTCGGGTGAGTTTAGAGTTGGTTTGGGCTGTGGTTGTGCTTAGGTGGGATAGTTTGGTGTTGGTTTGGTTTGTTTGGGGGGGGTAGGGGCGGTTGGTATCGTGTTTGGTTTGGGTTTGCTAAGGGCGGGTTTAGAGCGGGTTTAGTTTGGGTGTAGTGCTGGTGTACGGGAGGTTAGGGATTGGTTTTGGGACGCTATAGGGCTTGCTTAGTGGGGGTGGTTTGAGGTGGGCTTATTAGCAATGGCTTTGTGCTGGTTTAGTGCGGATCGTAGAGTACTAACCCACTCCAAACCAGAATCAATACAGAATAATACAAACTTAGTGCGGACTTAGGGTTGGTTTGGGTGGGGTTAGGGTGGGTTTCGGGATTGGCTTAGGGTGTTTGGGGTTTAGGGTTGGTTTAGGGTAGGTTTAGAGTTGGTTGAGGGATAGTCTCTTGCTGGTTTAGAGTGGGTTTGTTTAGGGTTTTCTTTAGGGAGTCTTGCTGGTTTAAGGTTACTTTAGAGTTTCTTTAGGATTAACTTTTAGGGTTTGGTTTTAAGTTTGGTTCTAGTTTTGGTGGTGGTGTTAGGGTGGGTTTCGTGGTGGTTTAGGGTTGGTTTTAGGGTGGTTTTGGGCCAAAACGTGAGTTTAGGGTGGGCGTTGGATTCATTGGGGTTTGTTGCTTACAAAGAAGCGGGGGGGGTTGGGGGGGGGGGGGGCGAGCCCCCATCTACAGAAACATGGGAGGTAAGAAGCCACCAACCAAAAATCCAAAAAGCCAAAAGGCGGTGATGCTGGGGTGTTGCTGGTGATGCTGAGGATGCGGAACGCCAAAGCCACAAAGGCCACAAAAAGCAAAGCCAAAAAGCCAAAAGCCGAAAAGTCAAACAGCCAAAAAGCCAAAAAGCCAAAAGCCACGAAACCAAAAAGCCACAAGCCAAAAGCCAAAAAGCCCAGACTCCAAGAAGAAAAAGGCCAGAAGCCAAGAAGCTAAGAAGCCAAATAAGGCAAAATCCAGGAAAACATCAAAAAATACATAGCCCTCCCTTATGTTTCCCCATTTGGGGGCAAACCTGCGTTTGCTCGAGGAAAGCATGTCTTTCTCTATCTCTGTCTCGCTGAACCCCTGCCGCGTGTCCCGGCTTCAACCATCTTCGGGAAGATGTAGATCCTGTTGACCATACCCTCCTCTGGCTGGGGCTCGCTCATCCAACCTGCAACGCGCTGGGGGGGGGGGGGGGCGGGGGTTAGGCTGATTCGAAGGGCATACCTTCACACAGGCAAGACAAGGGTCACTTTTGGCGGCTTCTAAACTCATTTGAAAGGAAGCCGGAAAAACATACCGACTTTTGTCCGTTCAACACCAAGGATTGGCAAATCATAATCCAAATTGCCCTTTCTCGGCCGGGCCATGCGGGAAAGAGAGGCCTCGGACGGCGGGCTTTGCATTTCAATCGGTCCGTCCCTCCTCCCTTTTCCGCTTTTCAAAAGGGCGGGCAATGGCCGCCACAAATAAAACTCAAAGGTTACACTTCTTAAAAATGGCTAAGAACCTGCTTTTAAAGTAGGGAAAATGGGTTGCCACAAGCGGAAGTTTATTCCAGGGTCCGAATCCCGCCAGGAAACCCGACATTTCCAATTTCCAAGGCTTCAAGATGCTTCAAGGGAACACAACCATCTGCAATAGTTACTATAATTCCAAGAGCTCAATTCAGGGACCCCCAAATAAATAACAACTCGTTATACCTCCATGTGAGCTCGCTACCAACCAACTTTCAGGTCTTTCCTCACTTCCTGAGTGGATTGGCCCAACAAAGTCCCCAAGCGCTGTAAGTGATCCCAACCCGAAAAGTGACTCATGTCCGACTCAGGAAGTGAGGAATTGCTACAGGATGCACATGTCCATTCCATTCCCCTTTCGTCTCCCTCCCAGCCTCCACGGTAGAGGGCGATTTGGGCACCGCCGCTCTTATCGATCCACTCCACGCGCTTGGAACGCCAGTACGCCGCATTCCTCAGCCGAAAACACGAACTGGAGAACCTCCCCCCACCCCCCATCCCCCCCGCCCCCCGCCCCCCGCCATGCGCAAAAAGCGCTCATGTCTTGAAAGAATCCTCCAGAACCTCCCATTTTAGAGGAATCAACCGATAGCAGCTGATGCGCAATAGAACAGGTCGCAAGCGTCTCTGGCGTGACTAGCTGATAGTGAATCGCATACCCTGATGCAATTCGGCAAGTCATTCGACGATGGTCAGTACACACACTTCCCCGAGTGGATTGATCAGAGAAGTCTGCATTGTTTCGTCAACCACTAACATGGTCTTCCCCAAAAGTATCAAGTCCAGGAATTCAGGGAGTAAGTTTGAATAGCAACCGGTGCCGCTGTTGGAACCCCTTGCTATAGCAAAGTTTGCCCAACCCTGAAGACTTTTTTCACCCAGCTGCCCATGCCTCGCAGAAAGCTGATGTGAGTCACTTTGGGGATCCAACATATGGGTGGAATCGAATTCGCCGAAAATGGTCACAGCCCTGAAGTCGCTTCCAGAAGAATGTCTAGCTGCACAGTTGTCCTCTGAGAAAAGAACAGGGAGAAAAAGCAAACCTCTCCCGCTCCAACATGCAAAAGCAGGGGCAGCATCCTCCACCCGTCGAAATGGGCCTAGCTGCTAAAAACGAAGCGAGCCAGCGGCAAAGTATTAGGTGAAATGATGGATTGGGAAGACTAGAGAAAGAGATGAAAAGAGAGATGGCATGAGATCCTTCATTCGCTCCCTTCTGTCGCTTCGTTCCGTCCCTCATCCAGGGTTAGGTGAAGAGCAGGACGGAAGCTAGACAAGACTGAGGAAATAGTGTAATGGATGTGTGGAGAGCTGTAATTATAATTTCCTTCTACCTTCCAGCCCCCTCTCTCTCTCTCTCACACACACATCACATTCTTCTATCTGTCCTTTCCTTTCGTTAACTCTCCAAAGTGGACCAGCGGGTAACGGCGAGAGAGGTAAGGATTCGGAAAGAGAAAGAGATGAGAGATGGTGATGAGAGGTTAATGAATTCCTAACTCTTTCTCATCACCTATCATCTCCCATTCTACTCCTTTCATCTCTTTATCTCTTGGACATGTCGCTCACGGTGGAGAGAAATGGAGACGAGAGAGGCAGGGAAGAAGAGATACCATTCCTTTCAGCATTCATAACTTCTTTACACCTTCCTACCTTCCAGAGCCAATTCTTTTCTAATGGATCTGGAGATCTGGAAGTTAAGGTACGAAGGGTGAAGATATAAAAAAGGAATAACAAGTGATGAAAGAAGATGCATGAAGAGACTGGAAAAGCATGGAGGCATAAGCATGTCCTCATTCATCTATTTTTCCTTGCCTGTCTTCCCAAGAATCCACGCAATCAAGGTCTGAGGGAAATGGTTACCGAGAGACAGCCTACCTTCGCATCCGCCAGTCTCACAGTCTTTATTCGTTTCCATCGCCTCATACCTCTTCCCTGTGTGCTTTTCACCGAGGCGAGGTAACGAGAGGAGAAGGGAAAAGGCGAGTGACAGACCGATCACGAACAAAGGGAGACGGATGGATGAAGAAATAGCCTCGCTCACTTCATTCCCTCTCCAACATTGATTGATGAAGCTCTGAGACTCTGGAAAGAAAGGACAGAGGGAAGAAGTGAAGAGACGGGAACTTCAAAAAAAACAAATCCAGTCCAGTTTCTTTACTATTGTTCCTCTCTTCCCATTCTCTTCGTTCATTCGCTCGGGATTTCTGGAATTCCTCTCACTATGAAAGATTCACGATGGAACGGGCCAAATGATAGACAAATAAGATAATGACCGTTCCATTCTCCTAGCTCCTGCCGTCACTCCGGATCCAGAATGTAACCAAAATGAACGACTTTAGGATGTGAATGAAGGTTGGATAAAGGAGGAGGATGGGGAACGGTCTATCTCTTCACCCACCTACCTCTTCATCCTTTTCTCCTTCCTTCATCTCCCAGCCATCACTTCACCACCATTATAATGCTTTAATTGGCTGGTGAGTGATAGGATGATGAGGAGGTGGCATGATGGTTCTGTTTCCCACCTCCAACCGCCACCTTTCCAAATCCTAAGGTGTTGCACGGTTGTAGCTGGAGAACCTGATCCCATCTCTACCTCTCATTCATGCCTGGTCTTCTCATGACTTTGCTTCCAGCCGTGAATTCCAGGAACGAGCTGGAGAGAGTAAATGAGAGAAGGAAGGATGAATGATAGAGAGGTAAGGAATGAGTGTATGGGTTCGTCTCTTGATCATTGGTTGCGATCCCATCCTCTCTTTGCTGTCTCTTTCCCATCCGTCTATCAATGATGGATGGGCATGCCATGAGCGAGAGAAGTGAGTGAAAGGCATGGTAAACAGGTGAAGAGATCCAGTCACATGCTTACCGTTCATTCCCATCGTTTCCTCTGGTCATCTCACTATCTCATATTCCTTCCTCACGTCTCTCTCTCTCTCTCTCTCCCTCTCTCTTTGACATGGACTGGTGACTGGCGGAGCAAAGGAAACAGGAAATGAGAAGAGAAAGGGGTGGCGGGTACTTGCATAATCTCTTTCACCCCCTCACACATCCCTTTCCTCACTATATCTTCACTCATTCCTTGACCCATCCTATCTTCGCCCGACAGTGGCTAGACAAGGATGGGAGGAATGTAGGAAAATATAATGGGAAGGAGGCGCTTCTATAAGCCCCTCTCCTTTCTGTTTACCACACACCCCTTCACACACGTTCTCTTTGCTGTGTGTGTGTGGTATGTGGGTAGTGGAAGGGAAGAAGAGGTAAAGGGAATGAGAGGTAATCAGACAACATTCCAGTCCTAATTCTTTCCCTTCATCAAGTCATCTCGCCTCCTTCCCTTCTTGTCTCAGATGTAGGACGTGGAAGAGCGAGGAATGAACGGCATGAGCTCGCCTTTTCTCCTTTGCCTTTGCTAACGCCCAGATACGCAGGTGAGAAGGAAGATATCTTATAATAGTATATTCATAATGCTTTTCTAACATTATAATCATCGTACCCCAAGCGGGGTTGAGGGCCCATTGGCATCGGACACAATCCAGAATCCAGCAGAAGGTACATCCGCCAACCTCTTGCGCCTTGCCTGATGGCCGAGTTACGCCCTGCGCAATATGTCAGGTTGTGATTGGTGTTTAAGACGTACCCCTGCAGCAATTCGGGAACTATTTGTATTCTAGGGCGCTCCCGGGAAGCAAAGTATAACATGGCAAGCCAGCAGCCTGAAACTGTGGGAAAGTCATAGCCTCCAGTCCTTTGATTTACCCGCCCGCTGACATGGAACCGAAGGTCCTTGTGGGGTACCAAGGTCAGCATGCAAGACGCTGTGTTGGCCTCTTGGTCCCTGCGCCTCTCCCCAGAAGGAAGCCAACCAGATCAAGGCAGAAAGAAAGGGGCTGCCAGGCACAAAGGGACGAATGAAACTCGCTGGAGGTAGCAAATTCTGCGGCCAAACAATAACCCCACTAGCTTCTGGGGGAAAAAACACCATTCAATCTCCACCCTGCCACGCCCAAGACTTCTTAAGAGCTGTGTCTGTCGTAGGGTCTTTTCTGAGTACTGAAATCGATTTGCCACACACGCGGCAAATTATCATGAGGACCCGACCGCCTTCAACATAAAGCCGCCAATGTACGAAACGCAGGCAACATGCGTCGAGACTTTTCCAAGCGGCCAGGAGCATGCCACAGAATTCCCCGGCACTTCCACGGTCAAGCCGTAACTGCAGTGCAGACCGTTTCGACGTTCGATCGGAAGGGGCAGGCATAAAACGAAAAGCAAGCTGGAAGGAACGTCAAGGTGGGATATTGGTTCCAGCAAACTCGCTTGGACCCCCACCCCGGTTTTGGCCGTTCTCTTCACATGTTGCAACCTGCGGTTTTCTATTGGGCATGGGGAGAGGGGCCGGGAGACCTTCGGGGATACCTTCGGTGCCCAGATGTCCCTTTCTCAGCAAGTTAAGCTTCCATTTGCTTAAGCCTCCTAGAAAAACAATCTGTGTCCAATAGTGACAGATTCCCTTCAAAAGCAACAAGGGAAATAAACACATATACAAATACGTATATATATATTTATGTTCTTAAGCAAATGGAAGTCAATCATGCCTCTTTGGAGACCAATTCTCGGTGAGTTTCCCTTTGCTGGTACCCTTTGGGGCAGAAACGTCGCTCCAAGGTCCTGGAATGCGTCAAATGCAAATGCAGCGGCATGGCCCATTCTCGAAGGGAAAAACATGGCATTTGCCCAGCTCTCCAATGGCGGCCCACCTTTTTTCCCCTGTTAAATTGCATCAAGCTGCAAGTTTCTCCCCAAACCCTATGCGGACCGCGTTTGGTGGTAGTCGGCCATTCGGTGAGCTCCTTTGGATAGGCCACTGCACCAGCTTTCCCATGCAGAATTGTCATGGTCAGTTCGAATCCAAGTGTCCAAGAGTTTACATCTACACACACATATATATGGCAGTTGATCAAAATTCCTGTTTCCGGAAAACGCCATCTTCGCGAGAAAAAAAGTTTCTTTCGCGAATCTTTCGCGACTCCATCGCCACGCCCTTTCGTTGGCAGCGCGCGCTCTGGAGCCATTGTGGCTGCTGCAGTTATGCTTGCAAACACGGTAGCCGCAGTTCACTTGCGTGCAGTACGTAGTGTTAAGTGCAAGCAGTCACCGTCATTTGCCCTTGCCACTTGCGCTTGCCGGCGATGTGCGGAACCTTGCAACAAGCTCCCTGGCCTTTCGCCGGTCTTTCGCGGATCTTTCGCGAAACTTGCTCCAAAATAGCCCAGCCAACGTTATTGATTTGCACCATTCCCAAAACAGGCTGGGAATCAATAATGCAAGTGTAGGTGCTGCGTATCTCCCTATCTACAAGGGAGCGGGGTCTGCAAATATGTAAGCATGCCTCCAAGAATCCAACGCGGAATCTTTCGCGAAAAAACAAGTTTCTTTCGCGAACTCCATCGCCGATCTTTCGCGGAGAGTTTTAAGCCAAGACGAATGGTCACCGAATACATAACTCCTTGCAAGGACCTTTTGATCAACCCCCATATATATACATATATGTCCATATCTATGCCTATGTATATATATATATATATGTGTGTGTGTACCCCCTTTCAGGAAACTGTTGTAAAAGGAGAAAGCTGAACTCAAGCGCAATCTTGTGGATCTTCCTTGAGCCAGAGTTTCTTTGCACTCTGCCAGGGTGATCGGTTTTCTTCAAGCGTATCCGTATTTGAAACAGAGTTCAGTGTCCGTGTTCACCAGGGATGTTCCGAATGGCTCGCTTAATGCACCTTTACTGCCTCGGGAACCTAAGAAGGGCCAAGCGCAGAATCAACAAACCAATGGCCGTGTCATTTTTGTTGAGGCTACCCCCCCCCCCATTTTTCGCAGTTTTGCAAGAAAACCAAAACGAAACCGACCCAGTTAGTTCTTCTTGCTGAAGGGTCCTTAGAAGGGTTCTGAGAACCTCTTTGGGGTCAAACCACGTCTCTGAGATACCCTCCACCGCCCTCATAGCAGCTTCGCACATCTTTCGGCGTGTCGGCATTGATCAGGCAAAGCCTACCTGCGACGTCAGCTGAGCTGAGTCACACCTTGGAAAAGGGTACGTCTGCACATACCTGCCAAACTTCCAAAAACTCAGCCGCCAAAAGCCAGGAGAAAAAAGAAAAGCGTGAGTCGGAGATCTGCCCACATCCACCCAGCCAGAAGGAAGAAAAGAACGCCCCTTGCATAGGCAAAACTGAGTCACTGAGTCCAAACAAAAAAATCCCCCGACGCCAAGCAACCGTCCAAGCCACAAATCTGAAATCTGGGCGCAGTGGAAGTCACCCCACGATCCGCGGTGACGCGCGAGTCTCGAGTCGCGCGCGGCTGATTCCCTGCAAGCCGTCAGAACTTGAGAAGTTCAAACAGGACGTGCTGGGCGCGCCCGAAGTTCAGTTTCCCTCTTGGTGGTTTGGATTGGTGAAGATTGGTTGGGGTTGGTGTTCCGGGGGTGGCTTCCCATTTACTCTCTGCAAGAACTAGAGGTTCAAGTCACCAAGTGCGGATTACCTCAATCGGACATCTTGCAATACAACTGGCCTGCACGCTTTGGATGTTTTCGGCTTGCTCACTTGCAATGTGCTTGCGCAGGGAATCGGCCTTTCACGCCGCTTGGCTTGCTCATGCGGTGACGACTCCTTTCTCCAAGGCCTTCTTGCTCAAGATGTTCTTAAGGGAGAGGTCAATGCCGTGGGTAGGCGCGTAGCGACCCTCAGGGTCTGTGTAGCCTGACAGTGTCACACCCGTAGCGGGGCTTTGACCTACTCCCGCCAAACATGGTCCAACGTAAGCCGGGCACTGTGTGACACCCCCGCCCGGAAAAAGATATCCTACCCCCTTAGATTGCCTACAATTAAAGCACAGACCGTGACTTGCAAGAAAAGTGATACTCCCTTTCCCCATCGGAGCAGGGTTTTATTCCCCCGCTGCTGCCAATGACTCAGCCATCACCAGTGGGGAAAGCTTTCCACAGAAGGTTGAACAAGTTCGCAAACCTGTCGTCAAGAACGGACAAGAGGATTGCTTGCTGGCATTTTTTGATGTCTTGAGATATTCTCACAAAGCGTGGTTTCCTGTGGGCGTACCTTCCATTTGCTGAAGCCCCCTGGAAAACATCCAATAGTGATAGATTCCCTTTGAAACCCACAGGTCATTTCAGCCAATGGAAGTTCCTCAATTTTTTCGCCACCCGCAGGGTACCACGTGATATTGGGGAGCCGAGTGGCCCCACTCCAGCTGAAGGCCTCCGATGAGCGTAGGCTCGATCTCCGTAATCAGCTTGATGTCCCGGGTGCCCGCCTTTTGCTTCATCTTCTCCTTGATCTGATCCTGACAAGACCCCCCAAAAAAACAAAAAAAACAAAGATGTGGGTTCTAGGATGCTCCCGAATACACTTAGAAAAAAAAGAACTGGGTTCTAATAGGATGCTCCCAAAACACCCAGACACAAAGAAGAAAAACAAAAAAGGATGTCGGTTCTAGGATGCTCCGTGCTTGTCCTTGGCAGCTGGAACCCGTCTATTACAACTAGTTTAGGGTGCCCTGAGTGGCCGCCTTGGGACCTGATTTAAAACCTTTGGTTCAGCTTTGAAGAGAAAGTCGGCCACCCCCCTAAAACTGCAGAGACCCTCAAGAAAACCTGAGGGCATTAACTTTCGAGTCCCGGCAGCCACACTGTGCGCAGGATTTCATCGTGCTAGCCAACAAATCCATCCGGGAATCCCCCAGATTTGACTTAGACCCATGCAAATGTACAGGTGGACCACCCGTGGATCATATCGACTCGCTCAGAGTTGCTCGATCAGGTACGTTCCGTGGAAATGTTGGCCAGGAATTACGAGGCCCTGCCTCTAAAGGTGTCGCGTTTGTTGCTTGCCTGGTTTCATCCCCTAATGAGAACCCCAATCCTTGGGTTGCTCCCCACAAGACTTGTTGACCTTATATTTGAGCTTAGGGTTTCGGTTTAGGGTTTTGGCTTGGGATGTTGGGTTGAAGGGTTCAGATTTAGAGGGCTTAAGGTTGGCCCATACCAACCCAAAACACTGGCCCTGTGTAGTAAACAGGGTTTAGCTTCAGGGCTTTGGATTTTTGGGGGGCTTGGGTTTTCAGGGCTTAGGTTTAGGGTTTGGGATTAGCTTTAGGTTTTTGTTGGTTTAGGTTTAGGGTTTGTTCCAGTTTACCTTCCGTAGCCGAGTTTGCAAGTTGGGCCGGACCGGACCGTGTCGGAGCTTAGAGGGGCGTTGGGCAAATCACGTAGATTGGCCATGCTGATAGGTGATCTTTCTGGAAAAGTTACCAGCGATCCTAAGCCAGAAACAAGGACCACCCCTGGCGAAGGACTTCTGCGTGAGCTCGCTTTAGCCCCAGGTGAGCTCAATAGAATATCTCCACATCGGTTGGTTTCCACTGCGCCCCCAGAAGACTAGAAAATGGAATTGGGGGACCACCCCCTCGCTCAAGCTTGTCCTACTGTGAACCTTCATGTCGGCATCGGGCTTCTGGCTGCGGCCCAAACATACCCCCAACCCCGACCTGCAGCAAAGAAGACAGGCTCAAACCACACATCCCTACCAAAGAAAAGAGGGACAGTGGTCATGGAACTCTCTTGGAGAGCTCCAGAGCCGACTTCCCTCCAATGCCATTCTTCGGGGACAGCCGCAGCCTCAACCCCGCCTTTTGCTGCTCCGTGAGGCGCTGAGCAGAGCGGACCGTCACCGGGGTGATGGACTGGTTAAAGTACCTCACACTTTGACGTTGGCCTTGCCGGGTGATATGCCATATGGACTATGCATATGCAACAGGATCTATCTATCTATCTATCTATCTATCTATCTATCTATCTATCTATCTATATGCATATGTTCAAATATGAACATCTAATCTGGCGTGTATGAATATACATATATAGAGAGAGAGATGCATGTATATATATGTGTGTGCGTATATGCGCTTATACACAGATAAACCTGATATAATGACTGCAGTTGTATTTAAAACTGACATGGCAATTCTTATGGCATCTGTGGTTGTCGTTTAGATGCTGCCTTTAAAGCCAACCCAAAAATGGATGCTTTGGGAAGGTTGCACCCAATAAGAGAAAGAGCATGCTTCCAACCCCATCAAAGGTCCATCTGGTCTCTCCTGTGTGAAACGTTCGGTGTCAGACAGGCTTCAAAGGTTCAAACCCGCAAGCAAAGGTAACACAAGGTTTGGCAATGGCGGCCCTGCATGCTCATCCGAGATATGGGTATGGGTCAAAACTGAACCACCAGGGGACCGCAGGTTTTAGTCAATGTTTCCATTTACCAGGGTTCCATTTTAGGTACCTATGTTTGACCCGCAGCCATATACTTGGAAAGCTCAGATGGTTTCGGATTCTTATAGTTCCAACATACTGTTCAGACCTTGCCTAGCTGAACCCCCCTTGCCACAGGAGCTATGTTTGCGGGGGTAAGCGTAAAAGACTTGTTCTTGGTTGAGCACGCAAAGCTGAACGCTCTACTTGGCTAAAGGCAGCCCGTCCTGGAAGACATGTTGGGACATGTTGGGACCCAAGAGTATCGACATTCAACCTATCAATCCAGAGTCCCCTGAGAAAGTACTCTAAGAAACCTGAAACCAAAGGAACCAGATGGCTGGGAACCACCAAGTTGAGATTCTCCCCAATGGAGATGTGGCAAGACGAGCATCATGCTCTGCATGTACTCCAGCACGATGCACTTCAAGCCGTTGAGCCGGTGCTTCTTGGCCAGGAAGACCTAACACGAACAGCCCCTGATCCAAACAGAAGCTGGGGTCAAGTGGCCTTTGTGACCTTAAGGTCAGGTCCTTTCTGGGCTTCTTTGGAAATTTCATTGGGGGGGGGGTTCCCGACAGCCATCTATACGTAAATGCGAGCGCTCGCAACCCAACGGATGCCAGAGTACTTGGCTGCGAAGCCTTCTTCACTAGGACTATCTATTGCTAACTGTTTGCTCGCTCAACGGCTCTGCAACGTGTCTTCAAACGTGTTCCGCTAATTTTTGTGTTGTGTTTTGGACATTGGAGCTGAGTTGGGCACAACATATCCTATCTTTGGCACCTTGCCGATAATCCCGGGGCAATTTTTACCACACAGGGGCCTCAGTACAACACATCTTCTTTGAGTGGAAGAAAAACAGCCCACAAAACTTGTCGACTTTTAACACTCAACAGGAGCCGGATTTTCGCGCCCTTGAATTTCTCTCGGTCACAACCTTGCTTTTCGTAATAACTGCCTGGCCCGACTCCCTCGAATTCGATTTCGAAATCGCGAACTCGACTTCATCAAACAATCCGCCACAATTCCGCGACAAATCCGCCACAAATCCGCGACAAATCCGCGACAAATCCGTAAAATCTGAGGACATCGCGATGAACTTGGGCATCACCGAGCTCTTCAGCGGCTTCAGCAGCTTCACGGTCTCCCGGGCCTTCTCGACGGAGGTGAAGGCTGGGTTGCTCTGAACCAGCAGCAGCTGCTCCAGCCTCGAATTGGGGGGGGGGGCTGTTGGGCGTCTCCGTTTTTGATGGGTACCCCCAAACGCCAAAAGCAAAAGAGGGTGCTGGTCCTTTTGTTCCTCTTAAAACCAGCCCAAAAGGGGTGCCCTCAAAAAAAGAGCACACCCGTTTGTTAAAGGTGCCCTGTTCAAAGTTGTCTTCAGGAAACCGCCCAATTTGCAAGAGGTTCTCAAATTCTGGGGGCGCTTTGAGGGTACCCTTCTCACTGTTGTTTTCAAAGGGAAACCAACAGGAATAAAGCTACCCTTTTTGGGGTGTTCAAAGAAACATCAACAAGAAGCCACCCATTTTTGAGGTCTGCATACTTGCTGACAACACATGTTACCTGATCATTGCCGTCCAACTTAGAGGTTTCTTTGGTCTGGTGGGAAAAGGTCATAAGTTAAATCACCAAGCCTGAAATTCTTTTAAGAAGCCCTTCTAAGAAATTCATAAACAAATGTCAAGGGGAACGGCTGGTCATCCGTGACAAAAGGGATGCGAACCATCTGCCGGGGTTGAAGAGATCCAGCTGCTCTGACCGCTTGTCTTCTTGCACAGCGGTTTTCATTGGCGTTCTTGCAATTTGGAAAGCAGGGTTCCCTCATTTCCCCGTCCAACATCACCAGAAGCAACGCATCGTCAGAAGTTCAGCCGGACCAAGTCGGGAAGTCCGGCCAGTTGCTGCGGTTCCGGCAAAGTCGTTTCTTCTGCGAAACGGGACGCGCAAAACCAAACAGAAGCAAGCTGCCATTCCCTGTTCTTGAACTTCTCCTTGATGGCCAGCACGTCGTCTGTCACCATGACGATCTCCTTCTTGTCCGCCGCTGCGTTCATTAGCGCCTGCGGCACTGCAAGGACTGGAAACAATGTTGCCATGGATTAAGAGGCCTGGAGGATAAATACAAGTAGAAGTGGTTCCCTCCAAAGTGACGAATCCCCTCTTTCATGAGACACCCTCTCTATCCGGGTTCATTGAAATGGGTTCTCATTGTTAAGGACGGAAATTTGTTAGGATCGATCCAGCACTACGATTGCTGGAAACATGCTGCTGATTATCTTCAGACGTGGCTGGTATTTGGCACTCAGTGGCCGAATTGGGGCGACTCTCCAAGCATGAGGAGGCGAGGTCGCCAATGCCAGTTTCTGGAGTCCAAGGGCGCCATAGGTCCGTCCGCTGTCTTTTGCTTCTCCCTCAAAACCTATTCTCAGTATATTGAGTACCCCCTCCAATTTCTGCGCCCTTCCCTTCTTCCCAGAAGGCGCTTCCGAGCCCCGGCCTTGGCATAAGCCACCACCGGCCCATACGGCTGCAACATCGACGCATCCGCCTGGCGCTGCACCAGGCTCCGCAGGCTCCGCTCCCGTGGCGCGGCTCCGGGCGCGCCCGCGCCGGGCGCGACGCCCACGAAGGCGCAGCCGAACCCGAGGGCCAGGAGGCCGAAGCCGCGGGAGACGCGGGCCATGGGGAAAGGACGGGAGCGGCCAACTGGGAAACTTGGGCGCCTTAAGGGCCTTGGGCCGAGAAATTCAAATCCATTCGGAAAAAGGGGGTCAGTGCGGAAAGGAAGGCACTCCCAGCACACTCCCAGTATTGCTCGATTTCTCAACGGCAAGGAAAAACCTGGGGTCCAGCAGCCCTGAGATCATTTTCCTTGGGCCCACATTGCGGGAAGGTGTGCGGTCCCTTCGTTAGGCACGCGTGTGCACCTATATGCACTGCGGCTGCCAATGTGCCTATGCCTATGTGTATGTACGTATTCAAGACACTCTGAGACTTTTTGTTGGGCCTTGACTGTAAGTTTCGCAGAGGAAGGGTTTTCCAGAAACTTCTACTAGGACATACGGTGTGAAGTGCCTGCGTGTAAGCTCATCGACCTTGTCCTTGATCAACGCGATGGCGCGGTTGGCCTTGCATTGGGCAGCACTAGTGTTGTCCAAACACGCGAGGACAGTGTCTGGTCCAAACCAAGAACGAAGCAAAATTTGGATGCTCTTGTATGTTGTCTGATTCTTTTAGAGGGGACTGCTCCTAAGACATCGGGAAAGTTGGCCCCTTCAAAAGGGAACCGCATCCCGAGTGTGCGCGGTGAAGACTGCCTACAAACGGGTGCAGCTGCGTCTCGCCTGGGATACGGAAGTGGCATAGATGTTCACCGTCATCCATTCGGAGTAGGCCTACCAAGGCTTCACTCCCGCCAGAGTTCCTTCTGCATGCCCACACACGAGAGAGAAACTCATACACCTTTGGCCCCAAAGGTGAGTCACAATCAAAACCCGTATTAAAATTGTCTACCCAAACCAATGTAAAGAACTACAAAGGCGGCCGCACATACTTCTGGTGTCCCTTACAAGCCTTCACTTAACCATGATTCACTATGGCTCAGGTGATGTTTAAACTGCCCGACGCGTGGACATCGTGGTCAGTTCAGGTGGAGCCGCACTGGAGCCTCGTCTGGCCAAGAGGCTTTCCAATACTTCCTCTTGAAACATCACCACACCTATGCATCGCTCTGGGCAGGTACACATCTGTCACACAAAGAGTTTGCTTCACAAATGCACCCCACCTGATTCACCACTATTTGGATCCAAATGTGGATGAAAAATGATCCACCTGTGGTTCAAATTGCACCCAAGGGCCAACCCTAGCCAACCCCAGAAGGTCGCCGAGCCCTGGATCCCGAGATCGCCTCCCGGGGCAGAAGGACCCGTGAGACGCCAGATTTCTGACGGATCTCCTTCACCACATGGCCCTGGCGTCCGATCCGAGCCCTGCGTCTCCGAGCCGAATCGAGAAAAAGAGGAAGCTGGGGAGCCGATTCTTTTGTTTGAGTGTGTGTGTGTGTGTGTTTGTTTTTGTGCCCTTTTGTTCTTTTTTTTTTTTTTGGCGGGGGGGGGGGGGGCGGGAAACTCTACATGAATTCCATCACCGTTGGACAATTGCTTGTGGGCTAGTTAGCACGCAAATAGATCTGGAAACCATATTGTGATACAAACTCCAAAGATGAGGTAGCCATTGGGGATCCCATCAGGCTTGCCAAATGAGATCCCGAGGCCTGGCCGAACCCTAGCCCGAAGTTCAAAGTTCCCCCCCAGACAAGGCTGGGACCAACAGCACAGATCAGCGGCTCAGGAAGCGCAAGCAAGCCAAACACTTTTTGGTATAGCCGCTGCAGTTTGCCTGCAGGTGGTTGCACAGTTTACGGGTTCGAATAATGTCAATCTAAGTTTTACAATTGGGCCCGTAATAATAAAGTTTCGGCCGGACCCCCCCCCCCCCCGCTTTTTCACCCGGTACTGAATGAAGAAGGGGCAATCAAAAGTTAGTTGCAGACATACAACATCGTCCCCCCAAGTCGAACCTCCAAAGCACAAGATTAATAAACCACCCAAAAACACACATTAATAAAATTCCCCGAAACGCGGGGGCAAGCCAAACAAGTTCTTGTTTGGAGCAAACCAGTCCCAAATGATTCAAAAGCAAGCAGGTAGCGTGCAGAAGTTGATGGCACAGAGACACATGCAACAAGTACTACAAGTACTCGAAGCAGTACTACAAGTACTCTAGAAACAGAACTACAAGCATTACAAGTACTACTACAAGCATTACATGTCCTCGAAGCAGTACTACTACAGTTACTACTACAAGTACCACAGCCACTACTACAAGTAGTAGAAGCAGTACTACAAGGACTACTACGAGTACTACAGCTACTACTACGAGTGCTACAAGTACTAGAAGCTATACAACAAGCACAATTGTTTCTTTATTACGGTACTTTGCCCGGGGAAAACAACACCAAAAAAACAGTTGAGGGGGGGGGGGGACCCCGTTTACTAATATGAAGTCGACAGTATTTGTCACCATGACTTCCTTCGAAAAATCGCAGATCGGCATGCTTAAGGACCACAGGTCTTCACAGTGCCAGAACATACCTGCCCCCCTCCCGCCCCCCCAAAAAAAAAGGAAAGGTAAATCGGGGAACCCCCCCAACTGGAGTTCGCATTTCCCCAAAGACCCGGTCAGAAAGTTGGCCTGAGATACCAAGAAATGCAGTTGCTCTTCCGCGAATCGAGCACCGGATGTGGATCCCTTGTTCCTTCCAGTGGATCCATAAAACCAGTACAGTGGGTGACCCTTCGTCATCTTCCTTTTGTTTGCGCAACCAGAGGTTGCTCGGCGTTCAAGGAGATAAACTGGAGGTACCCCTGACGCCTGCCCCCCCCCCCCCGCCAACCCCAGCTGAATTGGTAGCCCTCTCAACCTCTCAGGATGATGGTTCTGGGGGGGTTGAGTGTAACTTGGACACATGGTACGGCCCCTGCCAACGCCTCCTTGCCATGCAGACCGCCCAAGATGTTGGTGCTGCCTCCACCGAGGATTGGGCCCCCACAAAAAGGGGCACCACATGAGCCGCCCCGAAAAGAGGCACCACGTGCAACCAAAACGGAGAAAGTCGAAGTATATTTTGTGGCCCAGGTTGGAGCACAGTCTCTCCTTGTCCAAGTGTTGACATCCTAGTCTGTGGCATTGTAAACTAAGCGGCCCGGAATTGAAGCAATGAGTATCAGGCAAGGCGTTCCCCCTCAAGCACAACAAGCGACCGCCCGCCGAGGCAGGTCGGCAAATGCCAACATGCTGAGTACATATTGGTTCAGCATCGGCCCCTGCTACAATTAACTCTGCATTGAAGCTGTTGAAATGTTCGCCGTAGCAGGTGATATTGCCGTTTGGACAAAACAGGTTTCTCGTCAACTAGGAAAGCTGTGTGCCTGAAGACGAAGCAGCTAAAACGACCGAGCGCAACAACGACAAAAGCAAGAACTGCTGGTTGGATGCGTTCAACTGGAGGATGTCCTGCAAAATGAACGCGGGCACGTTGCGCACCTTTGGTTGCCACATACGCCTCTTCGCTTGGCAAGACACTAAGAGAAATGTCAGGCCAGAATGCTGATTCAATTCTTGTTGCTGTCGCGGTCATATCACATTATTCGAAGGCATCACCCTTCCTCTCATAACAATCCCCCGCCCTCCCCTGAACCCCCCCCCCCCCACTTCCCCCCAAAGGCTGCAAGTTGGGCTCCTTCTTTGAGGAAAGCGGGTGGGGATGGGACTAGGTGGGGATTCCCACCCCCCTTGTTCAGATAGCAACTTGGTTAAACCACCCTCACTGGGAGTCCCGAAAGCCTGGTTAGGGATCGATCCCGCCTGGCAGGTAGCAACGCAGCGTGGGCTCCTTGAACTCGCCAATGTCCCGCAGGCCCAACTTTTTGCACAGGTAGTTGCACTTGTGGGATTTGAAGAACATCTGCATGCCTGCCGTTACAAGTTCAGCTTCCGAAATCTGGATGTACAACAGGTCTGAAGAAATGAGAGGCTACCACCCCCCTTCCCGTTCAACTCGGAACGCGAACATCTGATTGGAACCTCCAATACTCTTCTGGAGCCTCACCTCCAAATGACAGCTTCTCCATTTAACGGTGTCTTTCTGTTTGCGGGCAGTTAGTTACCCTGTTTGGGTGGGTTTTCATAGGGGGACCAAAGGAACGCCCAGCCATTTTGGTGGGTCCTTAACCCTCAAAAACAACGAGCCACCCATTTCAAGGTGAGCTTCCCTGAGAGCCAAACCGCAGGTCGCGCCTTTGAGCCCCAGGTCCCCACGACCAAAGTCATAGGACGCCCCATCGGTCAACACCTGGGAACTGATCGGCCGGGCTTTTTCGACGGAAGCTTTGACTGGCCGAACTTCAATGTATGTGTTGTAAGGTGTTTTGGCCCGCAGTGTGGAGAAAACATGGCGAGAACAAGTGTTGTTGGCTATAATTCATGCTGAAACAGGCCTATCTCTGGGGGCCCTTTACGATGGTTGTTCTGAATGGTGGAGTATCGTGGTCAATGCGGGCTATGGTTCACCTCTTTTCCCCGCGCACATGGCCCAAGATTCCCCAAGCATCGCCTGCAAAAACTAAGTGAGTGTGCAATCCGATTGCTTAAGTAAAGACGTGGCTGGTTCTCAAAATTAGGTACCCCGTCGCAAGGTTGGCTTCCTTTTGGTTTCCGCTTAAGACACATGGCAAAAAAGGGACCCCTGTGTTGAAACTCACGGAAGGGCAGCCAAGTCAAACTTGAGCAAAGCTCATGTAACCTTCTTTCCTGGAATCAAAAGTTCATCTTGGACCATGACTAAAAAATGAAACCGTTATATAACCCAAGAAGGGACACCTAGATGGTTGCCAGGTCGATTTGCTTCGACAACTGAGCTGCGCAGGGGTCTTTTTAAGGGGCCACGGCCGAAAACGCCCCGTCGCACCATGCGCACACCCCGGCCTGGGGGTCACTCAGAAGCCACTCGCGATGGGCGTCTTGTTCGCAAATTTCCCGCCTAGCGAATTGGGTGAAGCGACAAATCGGCACTGGCCGATTTAGCCAAAGTCGCCGATGCTTTTCTGGAGGTTAAAGCGACTGTCAATATCAAACCCTCTGCTGTCCAAAGCAGAGCCCAAACGATAGTCGACAAAGCCCAGAATGTGAGAATGGTGAGTGGGTACTCAGTACGTTGCCCTCTGCACAATTGTTGTGAAACTTCAGTTGAGATTCTCGTCATCTGAGATGTTACATTGTGGTTGAGACCTGCCACTGTCTCGATGAGAATGACCAGGTGGAATCAATTTGCAATCGTTCAGCAGCTGAAGACCGCAACCTGTTGAAAATGGTTCCTTGGACAAAACTACACATTACGCAGATACCAGCAGACTGAAAATGAACGACGGAGCATCCAACCCCCCACCTCCTGAGAAAGATCAGGGCGTGCAGCGTTGCCACTGATCTCTGTCAAAGTGCAGCCTTTTTTCCAAAAAGGCGAGCTCTGAATCCTGGGGTTCAGATTTCCCCCAAACATACGGAGCTGGATCAATCATGCTGGCCCCCAAATGACCACGGGTAACGTGTCATTTCCCATTTAGTTGGAAAAAATATAAATATATATGTATATTTATCTCACATGTTTGGTTTGGTTTCTTTTCCCAATGGTCATCCCATGCAAACGTTCTTCTGCAAACTACTCGAACAGACATGTAGCACCACAAATCTCCAGTAAAACTCTCGGTCCTTTTTTGCAGACCCAGTCCCGTTGCCCCGGAAAAACGCCTTGGGAGTAGGGATCTTTCTCCCAGCGATCCACACCTCTATGCTTTGCATACCTGGGGGGTTCCTGGCTTGGACCCTTTTCCTCAAGGCGCCTTCTTGTGGGCTCCACATGCAGAAACCCTCTGAAACGGCCGGTCCAGGTGGATTTTCTTCGGCCAAAACGTCTCCTACGGAACCCGGTCCCATTCAGGTCTTTTCAGGGCGCCTCCTCCCCATGCGTCCGTCATCGCGCTGCCCGGTGCAAACCCCCTGGATGTCAGCCACCAACAAGGCGCCTCGCGGCTTGGAACGCCCCAAGGGCTGAGGTGCCCAAGGCGCCCAAGGTGCCCATTGCGGGGAGCCATGGCCATCTTCCATACCAGTTGCCAGCAATTGATGCTTCACTGGCTTGACCAGGATCATACCGAAGATTCGCAAATGGATGTATACATTCTGCCTTTACTGGGTGTGCCCGAACATAGAGTGGAACGGGCGGCCACCGGTTGCCGCTCAAATGTACTGCAAAGCTCCGCTACATTTAACTCAGCAAGGCATGTTTGCCAAAACCGACTCCTGGCTTGTGTATGACCCCCAGGTCTGATAAGGAAGGAATGAACACATAACCCAAAAAAAGGGGGGCGCTTTTACCCAAATCCTTTGGAAACAATATGCGTTTCCTGGGTTCCTCCCTTTTCAATTCGGCGATTGGCTCCACTTGGCGCCTTTGCTCCACTCGAAGCTGTAATGCGAAAAGGCCGCGCCCATGCCGGCATGACCCCCGTACCTGAGGCGGCGCACCAAGCCCAGGGCCTTTTGACGCACAAAGGGAAAACCTGGAGCCCGCACAAATTGAGGGTACCCCTTGATGGGGGGTTAAAGGAAAACCAAAAGGACAACCAGCATCGTAGTTTGTGATTTTTGTTTCGGGGGAACTTAAAAAAGACACCCCCCCATTTGGCTTCCAGGCAAGCAAGGTCAGGCAAAACAATTAAGGCAAAGCAAGCAAAGCAAAGCAAATCAAGCGCGCATGCACGCAAGCAAGCAGGCAAGGCAAGGCAAGGCAAGGCAAGGCAAGACAAGGCAAGGCAGGGCACGCACGCAGCCAAGCAAGAAAGCAAGCAGCACTCACGCCTGCATGCCCGACCGCAAGCAAGGAAGCAAGCAAGCTTGCAAAAAGCATCCACGCACAATCCAGCAAGCCAGCAAGCAAGCAAACAGACAGACAGACAGACAGACAGACACACACACACACAGACAAGCCAAACAAAAAACACATTCCCCATCATGCATGAGCCCACAGACAAGAAAATCGCTATTTTGGCTCTTGAGCCAAAATGGGCAACACCCATTTGGCTCAATAGCAATGTGGGAAATGAACACGTGCCACCCATGCCTGCCAAACACGAGCACACAACACAACTAAACAAACAAACCAGCCAAGCCAAGCCAAACCAAGCAAAACCGAGCAAGTAAACAAACAAACAAACTAACAATCAAACAAACAAAAAAACAAACAAACCAGCCAGCCACACGCAAACAGACAGACAGACAGACAGACAGACAGACAGACAGACAGACAGACAGACAGACAGACAGACAGACAGACAGACAGACAGACAGGCAGGCAGGCAGGCAGGCAGGCAGGCAGGCAGGCAGGCAGGCAGGCAGGCAGGCAGGCAGGCAGGCAGACAGAAAAACAGACAAACAAGCCAAACAAAATACACAATCACACAAGCAAACAAAGCGGAACCAAGCCAAGCAAACCCAACCAACAAACAAGCAAGCAAGCAACAAGCCAGACAAACAAGCACACACAAACAAACAGACAGACGGACAGGCAGACAGACAAACAGACAGGCGGACAAACGGACAGAGGGACAAACAGGCAAAGAGACAGACAGACAAACAGAGACCAACGCACACACACACACAAAAAACAAAAAAAAACACACAAACAGACAGGCAGGCAGGCAGACAGGCAGGCAGGCAAGACAGACAGACGGACACACAGGCAGGCAGACAGACAGGTGAATCAGTATAAACAAACGGAACCGAATCAAACCGAAACAACTAACAAGCAAAAGCAACCGCAAGCTTTACCAAAACACAGCCAAGCAACGTCAACAAAACAGCCACAAAGCAAACCTGGCCAACCAACAAAACAAAGAAGCTCAACCACCGCTCTTGTGCCGATAAAGTACTCCTCGCGGTTCACAAAGCCGGCGTTAGAGGTCAGCCTAGGCGTTGCAGACAAGAGTACCCTGTAGTGACTACCTCTTCCCTCTGCTCTTTGCTCTGACATTTGAAACTTTCAGTACCCTTTCAACATCCAGGAAGATGCACAAAGCCGCAACGGTTTACAGGTAAGCAACCCGAGGCCAAGGGGACCCGAAGACACCCTCACGCCCTTCTGGTTGGGGTCTTATGTAAGCGCCGTAGGCAACAAAAACCAAGGGCATCCCCATAAAATGTGTGTGTGTGTGTGTTTGTGTGTGTGTTGTGTTTGCGTGTTTGTTTTCTTGATGCTTGTTTTTTTTGTTTAACTGATTCCTTATGTTTGCTTATTTGTTGTTTCTTTGTTTGTTTCTGTCTGTGTGTACTGTGTTTGTTTGTTTGTTTGCTTGCTTGTTTGTTTGTTTGGTTGGTTGGTTGGTTGGTTGTTTGTTTGTTTGGTTGTTAGTTAGGTAGTTTGTTAGTTTGTTAGTTAGCTAGTTAGCTAGTTAGCTAGTTAGCTAGTTAGCTAGTTAGCTAGTTAGCTAGTTAGTTAGTTAGTTAGTTCGTTTGTTTGATTGATTGATTGATTGATTGATTGATTGATTGATTGATTGATTGATTCATTGATTGATTCATTGATTGATTGATTGATTGATTGATTGATTGATTGATTGATTGATTGATTGATTGATTGATTGATTGATTGATTGATTGATTGATTGATTGATTGATTGATTGATTGATTGATTGATGATTGATTGATTGATTGATTGATTGATTGATTGATTGATTGATTGATTGATTGATTGATTGATTGATTGATTGATTGATTGATTGATTGATTGATTGATTGATTGATTGATTGATTGATTGATTGATTGATTGATTGTTGTTGTTTCTTCTGTTTGTGTTTCTTTGTTTGTTTGTATGTATGTTTGTTTGTTTATTTGTTCATTTGCTACTCGGCGTGTCGGACACCTAAGAGAGGATAGAGGATAACCCCCCCCCTAACCCGCCCGACGTCTGATACGGGGGGGGGGCCCCCCAAGGACCGCGCGGCAATTTGATGACGTTCCACTAAACGTAGTCTTCGGGGAGCCGGTGTCGCAAAACAGGGGTCCCAGGCTCGATTCCCCCTGCCGGCTCTTTGCTGGTTTGGGGTTCCTGCCTCCTTTTGCAGGAAATCTGGAAAAACTCTGTGTTTTTGGACGTCCTAATTGTGAAAACGCTGGAAAACCCGTGCTTTTTTGCTGGAAATATTGGGGAGCAGAGGGGAAACGCAAGGAAGTGCAAGTGAAATGAGGGGAGGAAATAGGAAGTCGACATGACAGGAAAGCAGCGGGACATGAAAGGGAAACAAAGGGGAACTGAAAGGGACATGCAAGGGACAGAAATGAAAACAAGGGGAGCGCAGGGGGAAGGAGAGGAAACAAAGCACAAGGAAACCAAGCACGACGGGAGATGTAGGGAAATGACTCGCAACGAAAGAACGGGACATACATGGCAAATGAAGCGGACATACCGAGAAAATGTCAGGGACATGAAGGGGGGGCTGAATGGCATGGAAGGGACAGGACCAGGACATCATGGGAA